TCCTGTAAAGATATGGACAGGGTGGAATTTGAAAGAGGTGTTAGAGCTCCCACTTCACTCTGAAGTTATTCATTATAAGCTGTTAGGACTAATATTTGCATTGTGGTTAAAAAATGACAAGTAATTGTGCTGTCTTTAAATATTAACCTGGCAGGCTCATTATTTGGGATGCTTTGATTAATTATTTTTTTCTATGTGATGCTAATGAATTGCTTTCTGAGGTCGCATGAAATTATGAAATTGAAGCTAACTTAAAGTCAAATATTTGGGTAGGAGAAAGAAGCAAGTGCTTTGCATGCTTATTTGCAGTATGTGGGATATTATTCTAAAATATTATTCAGCATTATAAACCAGGAATGAACACAGAAAAAGAGTAAAAATTTCTTAATTCCCATTGGTAGGATATTGTGATGAAGTGGAACTTTGTAAAATATAAAATAAAATAAATAAAACCCAAGTCATACTCTGCACATACCAAAGCATTTAATTTCCATTTAGGTGAATTTTGCATGTTACCAAAATGTTAAATTCATTTCCCCCCAGCAATTAAAGAATATAATATATTGTTCTTTATTCTCAGAGCCAACTCAATACATGGTTATTAAGCCTTCTGGCAGTCTGTTCCATTCAGAGCCCCCAGTGAACAAATTTCCTGATATTCATCCCCTTGTGTAATTCTCTCCCATCGAATCTGGGCTGGGCCTGTGATGCACTTAATCAAAAGATGATGTCAGAGTGCCAGTTCCAGGCCCAAGCCTTAAAAAGTCTGGAAGTTTTCACTTCTGCACTCATAGGAGCCTTGAGCTTCCAGGCAAAAATGCAGCTTTGCTTCTGGAAATGGCATGTGAGAACCACCAAGGAGAATGAGAGAATGTGTGACTATATGGAAAAAGAAAGACGCCTAGCTCTCTCAAATTTCCAACCTGCCCACAGCATATTTGTCAATTGAATTCACCCACAGAAGTGACCAGCAGTAAGGCCAGCAGAAGAATCAGTCGCTGAGTCCAGCACAAACTACAAAATTATACAAATTAAATAGTTGTTGTTTCAAGCAGTAAGTTTGAGTATTTGGTTTTGAAGCAATGAAAAAAACTAAAGCACTTACTGTATATCCAGCACTACATAATTTGCCAAGGAAGTACAAAAAATAGAAAATGAAGGAGTGATGCACGTTTGACTTCCAGTTGAGCTGGATTATGGTGTACATCTTTTCTTTTTTGGGGTGGGGGACAGAGTCTCACAATGTCACCCGGCTGGAGTACAGTGGCGCAATCTCAGCTCACTACAACCTCTGCCTCCCAGGTTCAAGTGATTCTCCTGCCTCAGTTCCTGAGTAGCTAGGACAACAGGCATACACCACCACACCCAGGTAATTTTTGTATTTGTTTTTTGAGACGGGCTTTCACCATGTTGGCCAGGATAGTCTCAATCTCTTGTCCTCGTGATCTGCCCACTTCAGCCTCCCAAAGTGCTGGGATTGCAGGTATACGTATTTTCATAAGAATTTTGGAAATGTTTCAGCTACATTTCAGATTATCCAAAATATGGCTGGAATATTAATTATGTTTAACATTTTTGTAAGCAAATGAATTCTTCATCTTCTAACAAGTAACTTGTCAATGAACTTTTAGAACATATTAATTTACTGTGTGTTACTGGTATCATGACATGCAATCTTTCAAGGAATAATTTCCAATTATTATACTAATTCAAGAAAGGGAGAAATTTGGACTTACCTGTGTGATACAAGAAAGATGCAACACACTCAGTGTCAGGAACTGATAGGAAGGAAAGTGTCAGAATGAGCCAGGCATAAAAGAAACACAAACATTCAAGTGGAGGAGCAACATGTTCCCATACACCGCAGCAGAGAGGAAGCCGGCTTATTGGAAGGGTACAAAGGATTGGCTTATCATCACACTGGATGGTGAAAAGGATTTTTATGAAATTAAAAGATAACAAGGAAATTACATGGTTTGGTCATGTTTTAGACTTATGAATTGGCAACAATTCATAGTAGAAGAGGGAAAGATTTGACAAAATCTTTAAAAGACTTACTAACCTACAGTATTTTCAGTAGCTTTCTCTGGTATTCAAAAGAGATTTTTTAGTTCACATTTTATATTTTCAAATGGAAAATAATTGAATAAATATCAGTAAGTACATTTATTTTGCAGTTTAGTCAAATGCTTTCATATGATGTCATAATAATATCAAATTTTCTTGACCAAAAAAATCAAACTATTTGACCAAATAACGCTGATGATTCCCTGAGCTCATCTATGGTACATTAAATAAAGAGATGTGTAGTTTTTTACATGCATGGCCTTCAATATCCTGGAAAAAAATTTATAGTGACTTTCCTTAGCAATATTTTTATGAACGTATATGTATGTATGTGTTTTTCTCTTTTCAACTTCTTATTCTGAAGATGATTTTTAATATTTTGATAAGACAGTAAATAGCAGACCATTTTCTTATGTAATTATATGCACTTTCTTGTGAGGAGAGAAGGTGTTTAAGAAAAATAAATCAGTTGGGTACTAAAGAAATAATTGAGTCAGGATGAAAAAGAAAATGAAAAAAATCCTCCCCAATTCTCACTTTAGCCCTAAATTTCTTTTAGAATATCTTATGTCAATTTACTTCACATTGTTATTTGCAGTTGCATAGACCGTATCACAAGAACTATGAGAAAAATATCTTGTTGGGATTTATTACCTTTGTAGGCTTTGTAAACAAATAATTTGTTTACACACAAATATCAAATGGTTTGATACCATGCCTAGTAAACAGCTATGGCCAGAAAAGCAAGAAAAGCATATGCATAAGGTCTGTTCAATTTATATTCCTAGGAGGATGAGCTGGGTTCAGATTTCTTCAAGCCTGTAACTTGTATATATTGTCCTATACAACTGTATAGAAATTGGGGAAAGTCTTTCCAAGTTAGGTAAAGTGTTTTAGAGGGCTTAGTGCTTTGTTAAATTTCATGAATTGATCTCAGTGCTAATTTAGGCTTTAGTGGCATATGATTACTACTTCAGGCATTTTCTATGGCTTCAGTGATTTGTAGTGTTATGTCATATCACTGGGTTACAGGCAATCCATTTCCCATTGAAATACGTAGCCATGGCCGGCCATGCTGGCTCATGCGTGTAATGCCAGCTGTTTGGGAGGCTGTAGCGAGAGGATTGCTTGAGCTCAGGAGTTTTAAACCAGCCTAACCAATGTGGCGAAACCCTGTCTCTACTAAAAATTTAAGAAAATTAGCCAGGCATTGTGGCCCGAACCTGTGGTCCCGGCTACTCCAGAGGCTGAGACCCAAGAATCACTTGATCCTGGGAGGTGTGCTTGCAATGAGCCTAGATTGTGCCACTGCACTCCAGCCTAGGTGACAGAATAAGACTCTATCTCAAAATGAAAAAAATAAATAAAAGGGAAAAAAAGAAGAGAAAAAGAAATATGTAGCCATAAACTTTAACTGAATAAAGTATGAATAAAATAAGAAGCATGGTGAATGTTTCTAAAATGCAAAGTCTGCATTTATTTTTAGGTTTGTATATATTAGAATCTATATTATAAAATATGGAAGTTCTTTTAAAATCCAGAAATGCTGCATGTTTTTGAAAAGCATTACTCTAAATGGTATAATTTAGGTTTAAATATTGTTTGTGATAAAATATTAAAGGTAGTTTTTGATTTGAAATATTTAAATTAGAGATGCCTATAGATTAATTTCAAGATTAAAACTCATGATCAGATGTTAATTCTAATTCTTTTTACTGTCATATAAGTGTAAAATTGTATTTTTATCTCTAAGGTAACATAATGAACCATGAATCTAAGATTTGAAAAACAGTATACTAATGAACTTTTAATTCCCTGGTGCATATGTTGGGGGGGAGGCTTTTTTCAAAGCATAACTGAAAGTATAAAGAATCTCTTTTTAGTGTTTGATTAGCAGCAAAATTAGTGAGCTAGAAATGTTATTCATAATACAATAGAGATGTAGAAAAGTTGGAAACTCTCCAATTGGGTATTTGGAAACAGGGACAACTTAATTGTTCTGAGGTTGAGAGACAAATTACTGATTATATTTTACCGGTAAAGGGTTCTTTTTAAAATTAAAACTAAATTTGTTTATATCTTTTACTAAGAAAATGTTCATCTCCTCCTGCATAATGGTTGGCACATAGTAGGTGCTCAATAAATGTTTGAAAATTAGTTCTAAGTGCAATATGTCCCTTAAGTCTGTTGGGCATGCTGCTTCTTTGAACTTGGCAAAAATTAATGGATTCTATTTTTTCTATTTTATGGATTAGATACAGTGAGAAGGTATGAATGTTGATGTCATTTTCTGTGATTTTATTTTGAAATAAAAACATAAATTATGAAAATTAAATTTAACATTTAAATTCTAAATTTGTGATTTATGACATTTTGACTCAACATTTCTGTTTCTTGTGTACAAATAATATCTGATTCCTAGGAAGCCTTACGGGTGATTTGTTGTATATTGAATGTTTTGATCTTTTTTATATTACCTCTTAAACATGTGGTTTCTTGAATATAAACCTGAACGATAGAAGAATGAAAGTGCCTACATATTGAATGCAATATTTAGAGGAGTATTTTTTAAGCTATATCCTCTCAAATTGAAGGTAAGAGAATTTTCTAGGCGGCATAAGAAATTATGCTAAAATGAGTTACCTCTGTGCATTTGAACAGGTATATATTTGCATTGGTGATGTGTATCTTTTACAATAAATGGGAAAAATTAATTCCTCTTGTAGCTGAGTGGAAACTTCATTCCTCCAAGTTGTGTATGTATTAGATGAAATATTTGATAAAATTTTAAATATTCAAACTCAGTATTATAGTTATATGCATTAAGGAAATTCTTCCACTGAATGGAAGAAGCATGCTTATGCAAGCTTGGAGTTGGGAAGGGAAAAAGAGGATCAAGGATGACTAAGGATATAAGTAAGGATAGCCATGAATGAACCAAAAGTATGAAAATACTTTTATTATTCACTGGACAAGAAAATTACAGAACCAGGCATACAGAAAATCCCTACATTCTGACATGTGTGGTTTCAGTTTAAAAAGTGCTGCTAAATAGAGACAGAAACAAGCTCAAATATTCCCAAATGATGCTTGCATCTGGAAGAGGCAGATATATCAAGCTTTATTCTAATCTACCACTAAATCTGTCTGATCCCAGTATCAACAAGTATTTATTAATAATCTAACATTTATGTGTCCACAATACTATGTTAAATGACAAGAAGTCAGAGAATCATTAAGTATACTACACAACAATATTAAGTTGTATAGTCTTATTACAAAGCCAGACATCACCCATAGAAAGACAGTAAACTCTGGTATCATCTGCTATGTTCCACATATATGTAAACAAGAACAAAAATGCTATATTCAGCTATTATATAAGGTGAAATATGATAACTCTTCAAACCAAATAGCACTGGAACCTATAAGCCAGGCATCACCCATAGAAAGACAGTAAACTCTGGTATCATCTGCTATGTTCCACATATATGTAAACAAGAACAAAAATGCTATATTCAGCTATTATATAAGGTGAAATATGATAACTGTTCAAACCAAATAGCACTGGAACCTATAAAGCCAAGCATCACCCATAGAAAGACAGTAAACTCTGGTAACATCTGCTATGTTCCAAATATGTGTAACAACCACAAAAATGCTATATTCAGCTATTATATAAGGTAAAATATGATTATTGTTCAAACCAAATAGCACTGGAACCTTAAGGTGGAAAAATTAAAATTGAGGAAGAAGTCGGATTTTAATAGGCTAAGATTTGATGTAAGTGATATAATGAAGTAAAGGCACTAATATTAGAAAGATAGAGTAAGATGATGGAGTTTCCCTGACTGAGCATACAACAGTAAAGTGTTAGAGTTTCAAATATTGGACTAAGGGATACTAATTATATTAAATAATCCTGCAAACTATCAAAGGAGATGTTGAGTTTTAGGGTGGAAACTCTGATAGAGGGCAGGGAAAAGAACAGAGTGAAGGTGTGGGAGACAAGTTGGAAAGTTTTAATAATTCAAATGATTGTCATTAAGACTGTGAAATAGGACAAGAACAGAATGAATGGAAAGTAAGAAGTAGATGATGTTGCAGAGATTAAAATAAAAATGCTGCACAAATAGAGGTTAGGACAGATGTAATTGGTAAAGATCTTAGTAACTAGTATTTGTTTCAGATTTTTACATATATGTTCATGAATAATATTGTCTGAAATTTTATTTCTTTTAATGTCATGTCTGGTATGAGTAGAGGGTAATGCCAGTCTTATACTGAGTTTAAATGTCTTTCTATCTCATCTGTTTCCTGCAAGAGTTTGTGTGGAATTGTCACTACTTCTTCCTTGTATATTCAGTAGAATTCACTAATAGAATTCAATTCTTTAATAGATATAGAGCTATTTCTTCTTGAATGAGCTTTGGAGGTTTCTTTTGAGGAATTTGTCCATTTCATTGAATTTATCAAAATTATTGGCAACAGTTGCTCATAATATTTTTTCTTATTTCTTTATTTTGATGGCATTTGCAATTATATACTCTCTTTATTTCTGACATTGGTGATTTGTGTGTTTGTTCTTTTTTTTTCTTGAACAGTTTGGCAAGAAGTTTATTAGTTTTATGGATCTCATCCAAAATTAGCTTTCAGTTTTACTGATTTTTTTCTGTTTGTTTTCTATTTTTCTATTTCAGTGCTTTCTGATTTTATCTGTATTGTATCCTTTATTTTGCTTTCTTTGAATTGAAACTGTACCTCTTTTTATATATTGTTAAGGTGGAGATTTATAACATTAATTTGAGACCTTTCTTTTTTCATAAAACATTTGATGCTTTAATTTCCTTTTAACAGCTGCTTTAGCTGCATCCTGAAATTTCTGATGTATTTGTTTTCTAAACTTTGTAATTTCAAAATAGTCTAGATTTCCATTTATTCACTATGAAAATTATTTGGCATTGGTAGGAAAGACATGATTATTATATAGATTACAACATTCTAGAAATGAAGATTCAGGCAAATTGAATACTCAGAACTGGGTTTTTCAAACTAGATAATCTGCTTCTAAGTCTTTTGCTCTTCACACTATACCACATGGCTTTGTGGGCTGCATGACAAGTTCTCAAGTGTAGAAGACTTGAAGAAAGTTGAGTGTATCAGCCAAAGTTTTTAATACGGAAAGAGAAACAGATTTTTTTTTCTTTTTTTTTTTGGAGAAGAAGTTAGCTGTTTTATCCTACGGTGAGCTGGGGCTATTGATGTGAGAAATAAAAGGGCTGTCTTGTTAAATGCTTATACATTGAAACATCCTAAAATCTGCCCCTACAGACTATTTCACCCAGAAGAAAGCCACTTGCCATTTTCTATTTCTTAGCTACCATTAGTTGAATTAGACTAAATATTGTTTCATTTACCTCACACCTATACCTTTCCATATTCAGGTAGAGACTTCAGTTCTAAAAAAACAACTGAGAATAATTGGAAGTAGGATCCTCCAGATGGCACAGTGGTTTTTAGATTTATAAAATCTATGAGTAAGTCCTAGCAGAAACTTATAGAATCCAGAAAAACTCTGGTCAGTATGCATCCTAGTCAATTATGTGTTATACAAAAATATTTGCATTATGATGGAGTATCAGAGTAGCAATCAAGAGCATAAAAAGATGTCCTCTCAAAGGAGGAAGGGAATAGACAAAACCGGATAGAAGCTGAAATGTATGAGAAATATACATGTATTATCCTCCCTACCAATTTTACATCTGAAAAGATTTTCAAAATCACTGTTGGAAAATGTGCTGGGACAAGAGGGTTTGCTTGCCATCTTAACTGACATACTTTAAGTGCAAGTAGTTACTGTCTTCTTTAAGAATGAGGAAAATAAATAAAATAAAGGCCAAACTTGAATATATGAAATAACAATACAAAATAATAGAAAGGAAACAACATCTGGATGACCTAGCAGAAGGATTTTGTTTCTGAAATGATTTGCTGCAGGAACCAGAAAAAAATACTATTAGAAAACAATTAGCATTCCCAAAAGTAGACAAGGAAGCATTATTTTTTTATAAAAACAGGAGAAAGCGATTTAAAGAGACAATGTTCATATGAAATGGTAAGAGAGTAACTTAAAATATGAAAAGATTGTGATGAAATGTAAATTATATTAAAAGGATACAAATCCAAAAACTCAATAATGTCCAGGCTTAACTTGGAGATTAACCAGAAACAGAAGAAAAGAATAATAAAACAGTAGAAGACTTACACTATTTTTTTGTCTCTGATATTTCAGTTAATCATAAAAACACATATGTAGAAATATGAGAGTCAGATATACTCCATGGGTCTTGTCTTCAAATAGTATGTACAGAGAAACAAGCATATACCCATAGAACTCATCATTTTCCAGGGGTTTAAAGAACTTCTAAATGGTATTCATGTATCCCATGTTAGGTGAAAACTTCCCAATATGCAGTGGAGCTGAATAATCCAGTTTTAACATTTCCAAAACCCAATACTCCTATGAACACATCATTTTCCCCCAACTGGTTATGACCATTCAAATAAGTTTTGGAAATGCTAGGGTAAGTAATATTAAGTATATTCCATTACTTCATTAATTTTCAGAGCCTCTTACAGGCAGTGTCTCAATATGTAGCTGTTTAAAAATATGCTTACTCTCTGCCAGACATTGTTCTAAATGTTCCACACTTAAATCCTCCTAGCAATCCTATGAGGTAGGTACTATTATTTTCTGTATTATATATAAAATCTGAGGAAAAGTGAGATGAAATAACTTGCCTGGTCCACACAGTCTGTACATTGAGGAAGCTAGGATTCGACAATCTGGTCCAGAGTCTATCTACCACTACAATAAGAACAGGAAGCAGAGCACACAGGGACCATTAAACTTTTTATTTGAGGTGAACCTATCAATTTCCATAGAAGTGCTTTATAGAGCATAGCATGGAAAGTAGTAAGGTGATTGATTAGATAGATTGAACCACATATAAATACATATGAAACTTACACATATACACACACACAGTTAAATAACTTTAAAAACTAACCAACAATACAGAAAATATTTACAAAACTTAATCACCTACGAGGTAACGTAAGATATCTCAATATATTCCAGGCAGACTTTGTACATTATATATTCTTCGATAACAATGCAATGAAACTAAAAATTATTAACTGTATTAGTTATAATGGCAGTTGCAGATGTAGGGTTTCAGCAAGTTGTAAATGAAATAGAAATTTTTTCTCACAAACAATTATTTTATAAACATAGGGGAGCTCCTTGGTGTCAGGCACCTGGGCTTCTTCTATTAATATTTGCTTATTCCACACACCTCGACTGGCCATCTCCACCCTGGGGTCCAAAGTAGCTGCTCCAGTTCCTGTCTCCTTCATGTCTGCATTTCAGGCATTAAGATGAGGAAGACATACTTTTCCTTTCAGAATAAGAGTTTGCCCCATTTCATCATTCCATCACTTTCACTTGTATCTCCTCATGGAATTTAGTTACGTGGTAAACCCAGCTACAAGAGAAGTTGGGAAGTAGCACTCTTTAGGCTGGTGGTCGTGTGCTCAGCTAAAAAATATGTTGTTATGTAAAAAGAGATTAACTGATATTGAGATGCTGGAGCAACTATTAGCTTCTGATGAACAGAAAGGTTCTCTTAACTCAGATAAAAGATGAAATCAAAATCATAATTACAGAAGGTTTAAAACTGGTGAGATACTGCCAAACCTAACTCCAAAGAAAATTTAATGCTTTAATGAATTTGTATTAAATATGAAAGAATGAAAATAAATGGATTTATCATTCTAGTCAAGAAGCTAGAAATAATTACTCTGAGTATGAGAAAAGCAATGAAGAATTAATAAAGATACAAATGTAGATTATTAATTTATAAATGAAAAACAAGTAGAATGATTAAATTTGAACATTAGCTCTTCAAAAGACCATTAAAGGAGATAAACTGCAGAAAGTGCAAATCAATAAAAAAGAAGTTGCATATCTTTAACATTATATATGAAAAAGAATGTAACTACAGCTATAAAGAAAAATTAATCATCATAAGATTAATAATCATATCAGCACCTAATACAGTGCCTGGCAGAGTATCTGACATAAGTACTAGGACCTTAATTATCAATTAATTAGTGAATAAACTCTGGCTTACAAAACTCTTCCCTATAAAGTAACTAATATAGAAATCTATTATAATAATTAATAATCTATTAAAATCAGCTTAAGAAAATCTTGAATTATGAATCACCAAAGCAGAGAAAAAGAAAGGAAATCAGTATTTTTCTGGCACATTCTATGTACGGTTCCTTATATAATTTTTGTCTTTTACTTCATCTTTGTAACCCTGTAATGAAGGAATACTACATGTCAAAGCTTAGAAAACTGTGATTTAAAAAGGTTCAGTTGCAGACAGTAAATGATTGAATTGGTGTCTGTACTAGTCTGCTTAATCTAAAAGTTGATGTTCTTTCCTCTGCACTTTCTCCTTAGTTTTAAGACTTCTCTTTGTCGAGAAAATCCTACCAAGTTTTTATACCTGAGCATGTCGATTTTATCTACTTTACTGGTTTAAATGTTGAGGATTTGCATGAGACATTTTTTGAAAAAGGAGTTTCATTCTTACAAAATATTTTTGAAAAAATGGATCTAGGTGAAAGGGAGCTTATCTATGCAGAAATTTCTCTCGTTTCAGGACAAACCATATTGTTTCTAATCAACTGGTTTGTTTTATCTTTAGACGTTTGTGGGCATTACAGTTGATGGTGCTTTTCTCTCCTCTTGGCTGGTGGGAAGATAAAAAAAAACAGAGGCCAGTTTATCTCTAAAACCCTATGATGCAATATCCCATATATCTTTTTTGTGCTAATATCTCTGATTTCATTTTCTCCCTTCCTTTTTTTGACTTTTTGTGTCTTTATTTTATCCATGATATTCTAAATATTTTTATAAGTCATTTAAAAGTGAATGTGTCCTAGGGGTTGTGTGTATAAAAATATATAAAACTGATAAACACTTTTCCTAATCACTCTCTTATTTTTGAATACTTAGTTGCTTCCATTATACATTTCTGCTTTCCTAACAAGTTTGCTTTGGCACTAGCAATTTGAAATTGCCAGTTTTACCACTGACACATTTATGGTGGATATTATTATAACCCATATTTACTTTATTAGTAGTAATAATAGGATTTTATTATAGAAAGAGAAGAAAGTCAGGAATGGGAAGGGAAAGTATAAAGGAATTCATTTGATCACAGAGAGAACCCCAAGAATGGTGGAGAGCAAATCAAATCATGGTTGAAGAGGATATGGCAAACTCGGGCTTGATATGTTCTGAGAGTATCAAAGTGTAAGCTAGTATATTGGAACAGAGTCAGCAGCAATTTCAAGATGGTAGTATTTCCTGTGGTAAGGTAGATGATACCACCAGGATTTCAAGGCACTGTTTTTCAGTTTAAAGCAAAATTTAGCCAATTGCTAGCAGTACAGATCAGAGTCCAGTGCCTCAGAAGTCATATCTAACAGCCATCAGAGCTGATTTGATGGGAAAAAAAATATTTATTTTCATTCTCATTTTCGATAAGCTCATTGGTCTAGCAAGTTCTTAAATGTTTAGTTGTTCAATTCACCTCCTCTTTAAAACCTTTTACAAACTATCCAACCAGCTATTGAGATATTAATATTTTAATTATTAACTTGTATGACCTCTTTGTATAATGTAGATATTCATACTTTTTATTTTTGCTGAAAATATTTATTTTCCTGGATTTTTATTTAAATAGATGTGTATATTATTTACAACTTGGAGAACTTGTGTTAGATTTTTAAGTGGTGATTCCTTTTGAATGTATTGATCACCTTGAGAGATACTGCTTCAGATATAATTCCAGGTATATTAGCACGGTGGAATGCCTTGAAATAGACCAACATTCCTGTTGAGAACAATAAATGGTGATTTTTTTAAAGTGCATATGAATTCTGCATTTTCTGCTCAATTTTTCTTATAAAACTAAAATTACTCTAAAAGTAAAGTTTACTGATTAAAAACGTACAAGTGTACTATGATCTGAGTGTTTGTGTCCTCCTCAAAATTTGTATGTTGAGGTCCTCACCCAAAGGTGATGGTGAGGCCTTTTGTGAGGTGCTTGGGTCAGGAGGGCAGAGCCCTTGTGAATGAGATTAGTACCTTTATCAAATAGACCCATGGGAGCTCCTTCTTTCCTTTCACCATGTGAAGACACAGTGAAAAGACACTATCTATAAGCCAGACACCTTTTTCTTTGGTCATGGACTTCCCAGACTCCAGGACTATAAAAAATAATTTTTTTTTTGTTTATAAACTACTTAGTCTATGATACTTTGTTATAGCAGCCTAGAGGCACTGGGGAACTGCAAGCATAAATAGGACTAGGGAAACTGAAGATTTTGGATGGAGACAAAGTTAAAAGCAATAAGCTCTTGGACTGATAATAGTTTTTTCCTCAGGATATTCGCCAATTCTGGTTTCAGGATAATCATCTGATAATCCAGGCTTTCCTCCTGCTGTAGAACAAACTACAGGGACAAAGAAAAGAGCAAAGTTTTGGTAGATTCCCAGGCTTAAAGATGAAATTTGAGATCTCTGGGGCTAAGATCCTAGCAAGAAGAGAGGGGTAGAGTGACCCTGACACTTGACAAATTTTCCTCACCGGATATTTGCCATTTTCTAAAGCTACACGGGTGAGAGCCAAGAAGCTGAACAGCTTCAGAAAAACAGATGGGAGATGTTTGCACTCTTGCCAAGTTGAGTAAACAACAACTAAAAAACATTTCTCAGCATACCAGAGAGAATGACCTAAGTAAATAAACTACGTTCTAGTACAAAAGTTGTAGATGGAGGCCGGGCACTGTGGCTCACGCCTACAATCCCAGCACTTTGGGAGGCCGAGGTGGGTGGATCACTAGGTCAAGCGATCGAGACCATCCTGGTCAACATAGTGAAACCCCGCCTCTACTAAAAAACTACAAAAATTAGCTGGGCATGGTGGTGCACGCCTGTAGTCCCAGCTACTCGGGAGGCTGAGGCAGGAGAATTGCTTGAACCCAGGAGGCGGAGGTTGCGGTGAGCCGAGATCGTGCCGTTGCACTCCAGTCTGGGTAACAACAGCGAAACTCCATCTCAAAAAAAAAAAAAAAAAGAAAAAGAAAAAGAAAAAAAACGTTGTGGATGGGTACACTGAATGAGAACAAGCCAGACATAGAAAAAAATCATACCAAAGCTGTAACTGATCTTGATTTAGCTCAGTCTCTGATTAAATCAACCCTAACTTTACTTACTCTAACTTCCTGGCCATAAATAAATAAATAAATAAATAGTAAACTTGAACCCTCTCTGGAGGAAGATAATATCATATGGAGAAGCTACAGTGACAAAAATTTATTAATGACAAACATTTGATTATATATTACCAGAAAGGGAAAAAAAAGACTACATGAATTTTTAAAATAAGATAAAAGACGAAAAAAGAAAGAACAGATGATAATACATTAGAAACTAACAGGCAAGAACTTCTAAGTAAATATAATTAACATATTAAAATAAATACAGGAAAAATTAGAGAAAATAGATGAAAAAATTGAGAATTCCACCAGCAAATTAGAATATGTAAACATAAATAAATAAAAATTTTAGAACTGAGAAATATAATAATTATAATGAAAAACTTAAAGATGTATCTTAAAAAAGACTTGACAGTACAACAGAGGATAATAAAGTAGAAAATGAGTTAATGAAATCAGGCAAACTGAGGTACAGAAAAAACGAAAATACAGAAAAGCGGAAGAAAACTGTTAGGTGGTATAAAGATCCAATAAGCATGTAATTGGATCTCATAAGCAAAGCACAGACAGAAAGGGGCAGGAGCAGTATTTGCATACACAATGGCCACAAATGTTCAGCTAATGACAGAACACATCAACCATTGAGTTCAGAAGTTAAGAAGGATAGATACAAAAGTGAAGCAATCACACAAATAGTCACAATAATAGAAACATTGCCTTAAAAGAGCATCAATACATACAAAAAAGAAACAATAAAACAAGACAATGAAGCAATATCCAACTCATCAAAGAGAATCCTATGCAAAGAGAAAATATCCTTTGAATATTAAAATGAAATCAAAATTTCACATAAACAAATGCTGAGAGAGTTAAACTAAAAAAAATTCTGATAGAAGGAAAATTATTTCAAAGGAATAAAAATGAAGAAGAAAATGACAAAAAGAAGGATAAGTACACAAATATGAATGAATAATGATGTTAGATAACAATCATACTTGTGGCTTGGGGGCTTTATGCATACAGAATTAAAATGTATTATAAAAACTCAAAAAGCAGAAGCGGGATAAATTGAGTCAAACCATTCCAAGATCCTTATATCATCTGGGCAGTGAGAAAGTAATAACTTATATTTCAAAGATGCATGTTTTAATAATTATATTATCCACAATAAAACAAACACAAAGAAATGTATAACTAACAAAGTAGTAGAGGGAAAATTGAATAGTGAAAAATAAATGATTAATTCTAAAGACGATAAGAAAAGACATAAAAATACAAAACAGATAAGTTATAAAATAACAAATATGGTAATAACTATCAAACCCCCATAGTAATTATATTAAATTAAAAGGGATTAAATATTGAGTAAAAAGTTTAGAAATAAAACTTTTTATTTTATTTCTAATAATGCTGTTTATTAGAAACATATCTTAAATATAAGAAAACAAAAAGCCTAATTGTAAAAGGATGTGAAAAATATATACTATAAAAACACTACTCAAAAGAAAGGTGGCTATTACATTAATGTGAGAAAAACTGGATTTTTAAGACTAGATCAATTTCTAGAGAAATGCTGACCAAAGGTCAAACTAACAGAAGTATATAAAATTATAAATTTGTATATACCCAGTAACTTAACATGTTACTGTAGATGGATGGTGGATGGATGGATGGATACATGGATGGACGGTTAGATAGATAAAAGTTAGCAGAAGTAAAAAGAGAAAAAAGAATTCCGAAATTACAGGAAAGAGTTTAACTCACCAATATTCATAGCCTATAAAACAAACAAACTTGTAAGAATAAAGAATATCTAAAAAATACAACAAATCACTTATTGGCATAAATTGACCAGTGCATACAGTTATCATAAAATGTGTATTTTCTTTAATTGCATACTCAATTGTACTAAAAATTATGATTAGCAAATGAATAATACATGAGAATATACTCCTGGCCACTACTAAATTAAATTGTAAAATAATAACATAAATAAGTATAAAATCGCCAACTTTTGGAAATTAAGCAACATACTTTTCAATAATACATGAGTGAAATAAGTCACAATGGATACACAAAACCTATGTGCTAAATAGAGTATGATATAGTATATCAAAACTTTTGAAATAATATTGTTTCTTAGAGACTTGTTTACAGCCTTAAATTCTTACATTAAAAAAGAAAAAGAGCTGATAACATCTAAGTTTCTATCTTAAGAAGCAAAAGAAATAAACAACACATTAAACCCAAAAATGTAGACTGAAGTAATAAAGATAAGAGCAGAAATCAATGAAATATGGTAGAAAGCAAACACACCACAGAGAAATTGAACAAATACAAAATTGCTTTCTGTTTTTGAAGAATAAAATTTCTAACCACTTACAGAGCCGATCAAGTACAATAGGTGAAAACTCACTTGCCAATATCAGGAACAAAGTAGAGGACATTACTACAGGTCCTATATGTTACACAAAAAAAACAGTCTTTCAAGTTGACTTCACCAGTGAATTCTTCCAAATCTTTAAAAAGAAATAATACCATACCAGCATAAACCTGTCCAGAGGGTTAAAAATTAGGGGAAACACTTTCCATTCTTTTTATGAGACTAATATAACTCTGATATCAAAATCTGGAAAAATATTACAAAAAAATTAATATCACACATCAAATCAACCTGTTTCAGGACTATAGATGAAAAAAGTTTCTGAAAAAAATATTAGCAAACCAAATAGAACAATTTATTAAAGTGATCAGTTTTATTATATGAACTGTAATGGTGTTTTACCAATGAAAAACAGATGAATATAATTGACATGAACAGAAAAGAATAATGATGCATAAAATTATATCAATAGATTACAAAGTTAAATATCATTTATTTAAAAAATTCTTTTAGTAAGGTAAGAACAGATGAGTCTTCTGTTCTACATAAGCACTTCAGATAAAGTTTCCACAAATACCATAGTAAACTGTAAATTGTTGAAAGCATTTTCAGAAACTGAAAATAGGACAAGTGTCTGGAGGTCTCAGTGCAAAAATGCATGATAAAAGAAATGGAAGGGAGAAGGATGTTATAGACATAAATGAAACTGCCATTTATAAAATATATGATTACGTATGTAGCAAATCCAAAAGAATATCTAGACAAATTATTGAGATTCCTAAGTGACTCTAACAGGGTCACAAAATACAGGACCAATACATCAAAATAAATTGCATATCTGTATGCTAGAAAGATAATATATAATAAAAAATTTCAAATATAACAATAGCAGAAAACAGAAGCTATTCAGAAATAATTTAATAAAATATGTACAAACCCTGTATCCTGGAAACTACAAAACTTTGTTGACAGAAATTATTGAAGGCGTAAATAAATGAAAGAATATAACATGCTCAAGAGTTGTAAGAAATAACAGTTTATAAGATGGTCATTCTCCAAAAAATGATCTAAAGATCCAACACATTCCCAATCAAAATCTCAGATGAGTTTTTATTCTGATGGAAATTGATCATCTGATTCTAAAATTTGTCTAGAAATGCAACAATCCAAGAATAGCCTAAGCAGTCTTGTAGGAGAAAAAAAAAACAGAAGGACTTTCATTACCGGTTATCATGTCTTATTTTCAAACTGCAGTAAAAATGACAGTGTGAAAAAGACAAATAGATGAAAGAAACAAATGAGAGTCCAAAAAGAGACCCACATTTATGTGGCCATATGACAAAGATGACACTGTAGGGTCAGGGGGAATACATGTTACTGATTCCATTAAATATTCATACAGAAAAATTACCATTTTTGACAACTACCTCAGCCATACAGAAAAGTAAATTTCAGAAGAATTGTAGGTCAACATTTTAAAATTAAAACAAAGAGATTAAGAAAATTTACTATGGGTTTTTTGTTGGAAGAGGCAATGATTTATTAATCAGGACACAACATGTTAATTTTACATAAAGGAAAATATAATAAAATTGATAATAGAGTTAAGTGTGTAAGTTTTATTACAGTCGACTTAAGGATGTTCAATAATCAAGAACATAGAATCAAAACCAAGACACATGGTAAAAAACACATAGACACACACACACACATACACACACATATATATAGCAAAAGTCGTATCTAGAATAAACTAAGAACACCTTCAAAACAATTTTTTAAAGTGTATAATCCAGTAGAAAGATTGGCAAAGGACTTGAATAGACAATTCACAAAAGATTATATACAAATGACCAATGGATGTGATATAAGATGCTCAATTTCAATGATCATCAAGTTAATGAAAATTAAAAACCAGATTGTGATGTCTACTAACCCACTCAGATAAAATGAAAAAGACGGATAATTCTAGTGTCGGTGAGGATGTGGTGCAACCAAAACCTCATGCAGTGCTAGTGAGAATATGAACTGGTACCAGAACCATAAACAATGGTTAAACAGTACCTTCTAAAGCTGCATATGAGCATTACCAGCAATTCCACTTCTTGGTATGTTCAAGAGAAATGAGTAATATATTCAGCATCCCAAAAAAACAAACATTCTAATGATCACAGCAGCACTATTCATTTTAGCAAAAAGGTGGGAACAACCCAAATATTCATCACTAATAGAATGAGTAAATCAATTGTGGTATATTCGTATAATTTAATATTATAAATTCGTGAAAATAAACTACTGCTACCTGCACCAACATAGATAATAACCAAATACATAATGTTGAGTAAAAGAAACCCGACTAATAAATACTGCATGACTATCTTATATAAAAATCAAAACCAGGCAAAACTTATCTATGATTTTAGAGTTGGGAAGTACCCTTGGGGTTATTAAATCCTTGAAGGGAACATGAAAAGTAATTCTGGGATGCTGGTAAGGTTCTAGTTTTTGGTCTGGCAGGTAGGTACACAAGCATAGTTACGTTGTAACACTTCATCAAGAAGAATACTTATGACTATGCTTTTGTTTTATGTGTTATATGCATCAAAAGATTACTAAAAAATTGTAAAAAAGAATTTTTCAGAAATGTATCCCACCAAAGTCTTGATAACATACTGCAGTCCATTAGTTTTAAATAATTTCAATTCTTACACAATTTTCTTTGTGTACTATGTGAATTTAAACTGATGTTATAGCTAAGTAGCTATCCGTACAACACTTATCATTAAATCTTTTCTGCTATTGGAACATATACTTTACATATTTTAATCATTTTTTTATAAAAGTGTTTCTATTATATTCTATAACTATATATTTCCAGTTTTGTTCAGTATCTTGTTGTTCTTTTTTTTTGGTTGATTTTAAAATAGACGTAATTTTCAGGGTATTCCTTCATCACTCTTCATGATTTGTTTGTATTCTCATGTGTTTACTTTTTCACGTGAATTTTATTCAAAATATTAAATAATTCTTTTCCTTCAGTTATCTTATGTAAATAAAAGGATAAATCATCAAAACTTTTCATGCAGGATTTGACCCAATTATATTTGTGTCATAAAATGAATACACAGATATGAATAATGGACTGGAGGTAGAAAGACGAAGTATGGAAGCAAATTTTAATATTAAAGGCAGGATGTGACTAGCACATGAGACAACCCTGAGAGTGGCAGGAATAAAAAGTGGTAAAAGATCTGAGAGAAGTTCATGACGTGTAATCGGTGATCAAATAAATATGAAAAACACGAAAGAAAGAATAATTAAGAATAATTCCACCTTGAAGTATTTGGCAGATGTTGATATTAAAAGCTTTAGATTTTAAATAGAAGGAGAGAGATTTGGGCTATAAGATAATGACCCTAACTTTGTAGCATTTACCTCTGAATTACTTGGCAGATGCCCAAATGAAATGATCTGGTCAGGCATGGTGGCTCATGCCTGTAATCTCAGCACTTTGAGAGGCCGAGGCAGGCTGATCACTGGATGCCAGGAGTTCAAGACCAGCATCGCCAACATTGTGAAACCCCACTTCTACTAAAAATACAAAAATTAGCCGAATGTGGTGGCACATGCTAGTCCCAACTACTTGGGAGGCTGAGGCAGAAGAATCATTTGAACCTAGAAGGCAGAGGTTGCGGTGAGCCAAGATCGTGCGGTTGAGCCAGCTCAATAAGAAAACAAAAGAAAATATGACCTAGACAAGATGAGCCTTTTTTGTTTGGTTGGTTTTTTGTTTTGTTTTTGTTTTTAATAGTGTATTGCTTTGTCACCTAGGCTAGAGCAGTGGCATGAATTCAGCTCACTGCAGCCTGAAACTCCCTGGGATCAGGTGATCTTCTCACCTCAGCCTTGCAAGTAGCTGGGACCACAGGCACACACCACCACACCCAGCTAATTTTTTGTACTTTTTGTAGAGATGGGGTTTTGCCATTTTTCCCAGGATGGTCTTGAACTCTTGGGCTCAAGCAATCCACACACCTCAGCCTCCCACTGTGCTGGGATTGCAGGCATTCACCACTTAGCCTGGCTTAAGCTCTTTTCTTATTTTAGATTTGAGAGTTATCAGCATGTATGGCTTAAGAAAAATCATTGAAATTACTTTTTCACTATAAGGAAAGAAAAAAAGACACACACATACACACACAAATCAAATTTAAGAGTTGACTAGTGTCTTAACTGACTGCTACTTGTAGCATTAAGGTAACTTCCTCCAGGACAAAGTGCGCAGAAATGCTCTCAGAAACCTCTCCAGCTAGAGCCCAGGTTCCTGGTCTGTTGCCTTGGTTCCAGTTTCAGCATCTTAGCTGTCAAATGAATGTGTTGAGATTGCTTTACTTGATTCCAAGCTTGCCTTTGCAATCTTGACTTTCTAATCTTTCTCTGCTCTATATTCTACCATCTCTCGGTAACTTTCACTCTATCTCTATAACCAGGTCTTTCTTCCAGAATGCCAGCCCAAGAATTGCCCTCAGAGCTCCTTCTTTGCTTGGAAGGAAGGAAGCACTAAGGTGTCCACAAAGCAGGCAGAAAACCAGCAAACAGACAAGAACCCCATGGGTTTAATGGCCCCTGCTTTTCTAATTGTCCTAATTGCCCTGTCACTTTTTTTTATCACCAATCGTTTTTCCCACATTGGTGAAAACTGATCCTACATATACTCTCTTGGCATCCTGAATATTGCTCTCCTGGTATTCTTCTGGGCATCCATCTATTATCAAAATAATTAACATATTTTCGGATACTCTGCCAAGGGAGAAAGTTCTGATTGTTGAAGTTCTTCTTTAACACCATGCCTTGACTTCGTGGCAGTCTTGTAATGTTTCTCAAAATAGTGTCATCTGAACTCTTCACAAAACCCTTCAATGCTTTCACTTCTTTTGTCTCCTTCCCTTGTTTCTCTATTCTCTTTGTTTCTTCCCAAGGTTCAAGAATTTCTACGTATGCCCATATCTTTATAGCATACAATGCTATTCTCAACCCCCTTCCACTAACCATGTTTTAAAATATATTTACCCTTCCTTTCTCTTTTCTACTGTTGATTTACATCTCATCAAGCTGTATCTAAAAAACGTTTTTTTGGTTAAGATTTCAAAGTAATTCTTGTATTAAATATGAAATCTGGAGCAATTAGCCTTCTGGTTGCTTTTCTTTTTCCTTTCTTTTCTTTTACATTTTTTTTACAGTAGCTTCACTTCACACCCCCTTCAGAGTAGAACTGTGAGAAACTTCATTACCTAATTGGCATTTTGCTGCATGATGTACCGCCCATAAGAGAATCAGTTTTAGAAATTACACAACAAATCCATTCTCACTGCATTTAGGCAAGGTTAAAAAATATATTTTCATTCTAAAAGTATTCATGAAGGGATAAACGTTAAAAAGATCAATTCCATAATAAGTAGAAAATGTTTGACATCTGGTTAGTGGGAGGGGGGATGAAAATAAGAAAAAACTAGAGATGATATAATTTCTGAATCCTTACAAGTTTTGAATATTTGAAACCTAATATAATGCTGTTTTCTCTTCTCTCTGAATTTCTCTCTCTCTCTCTCTCTCTCTCTCTCTCTCTCTCTCTCTCCCTCTCTCTCTCCCCCCGCCTCACTGCACTTTTTCTTCCTTAAATCCTTTAATTATAGCCCTAGACCAGCTGCAGCAGTGTGGACTGTAACTGTGATTGGCTAACACTTTAAGTTTCTTGGTTTGCTGCAACTGGCTACCTCCTAAAAAAGATTAGGCTTACACCTCAGCTCTCAGAGAAAAAGTGAGGGCACTTGCACTCAGATGAGACTAAGTGCAAGCAGATCCAGGTGGTGCAGAGATGGACTGTACTAGGGCCAGTTTATGGACTCCCTGAGATCTGCCTGAAACCACCTGCATCACTGGACCTCAGCCACTTGCCTCTCTGGTGTCAAGTAGAGCAAGAGAGGCTCTAGCGAAGACTCACACCTTCCACAGTTGTGATGTCCTTGATACTGCCACTGGTACTGCCATCTCCATTACCACAGATTTAGGAGCCTCCACAAACTGCATCTACTGACATAAAGACACAGAACCTACCCATTGGCTGTATTAGTCACGTGGAGGCTTTGCCTTTTCCAACATATATCTGGAGGGGTGCACTAACACAACCCAAAATATAGCAGCATTAATGCAAAGTGATAGACTTTAACCAATAAAGGAGAGAAAATGGAGGGAGCCAGCAAATAAATGTTTGCCATCCCTTTCTGTAATTATTATTTTTTACAATAGTTTAATATAGCCTCTCTGGAGACTTCCTGCAACAATTAACAATCAACTGGGATGCAAGGCTGTGAAAATATTTGGGAACACACTTCTTAGCCTTAATTTTTCCTTTTCTTTTGCCTTTTTAAAATTCTATCCTCAAGAAAGCTGCAACACATAAACTTTTGCCTCAAGGTCTGTTTTCCAGGAAAGCTTATGCAAGACACGGGCTAACTATCAACAAAAAAGATACCTTACATTGGCTCTTCTAAATGTTGACAACTAACCAAAGATATGGAAAATTTGAAAAAAGTATGAAAATACAGCAGGCAAATAGTAAACTTTTAGAAACTACCGTAGTTCTATTAGAGATAAAATAAATTTTAATGAATAAAAATATAAAAGTAATAAAGTGGATAAATACCCAATTATATAAAATCAATTTACCAGAAAGAGTTAATAATTATTTTGTGTGCAGCTAATAAAATATCATCAAAATGGGCCGGGTGCAGTAGCTCATGCCTGTAATTCCAGCACTTTGGGAGGCCGAGCCGGGTGGATCACTAGGTCAAGAGATCAAGACCATCCTGGTCAACATAGTGAAACCCCGCCTATACTAAAAAAATACAAAAATTAGCTGGGCATGGTGGCACACGCCTGTAGTCCCAGCTACTCGGGAGGCTGAGGCAGGTGAATTGCTTGAACCCAGGAGGTGGAGGTTGCAGTGAGCCGAGATCGTGCCATTGCACTCCAGCCAGGGTAACAAGAGCAAAACTCCATCTCAAAAAAAAAAATCATCAAAATGTATACAGCAAAAATGACTGAAAAAGCAATAACAAAATAACAAATTCTCATAGGGAGAGACTTCAATTCACTTCTTTTAATTGTTGATATGTTAACCAGAAAGGAATGGAAATATAACACATTATTTACATATTTCTAATAACAATTTTTGAAAACCTAGAAATAATCAAAATATCATTTGACTGATGACTTGAAAAGAAGTTGTATTGTCACTCAGAGGAATATTATGCAGCCATGAAAATTAACAAATTACAGTTATGTGCAACAACCTGTTGAATCTGAGAAACAGCCTTGAGTGAGAAAAGCATGTTGCAGACCATATAGACTATAATACCAAACTATGAAGTGTAAAATCTAGAGATAAATACATTTGTAATAGAAACTATTTTCAAAAGCAAAGGAACAATTAACCCAATGTCTAGGATACGGATTGCGTTTTGGGTTTGGCAGAGGGATGGGATTTGGAGGAAAGCATAGATACAGCCTCAGTGATATCGGTAATATCTACCTTATTAGCTGGCTGGAGGGTTCGTGACTATTTTATTTTTATGCTTCATTACTTTCATGTAAGTTGCAATATATTATTTTTATGTATCAAACATTGTAAAATAAAAAAATGTTAATTTAAAAATTGATTTTAAAGTATATGTCTAGTAAGTAGAGCAAGGTATACCTTAATTACTGAAAAAGTTGTTTACAAAAAATGAATTTTACCAATTTTTTTACCAAGCTTTAGTTACTACAGATCTTGAATTTGGTCTAGAGATCATACTACACTGAGTCTCCTTGATTCTCCATCAAAAAAACTGTAATTTAAAAAATGATAAACATTGATTCAATTTAATGAGCTGCTTTCCAATTTTACTACGTGATTTTTTTGAGTATGGAAGGCCTGTACGGTAATGTCCAGGGGTATTCAGCATGTTTTATTTAATTGTGTTCAGAAATGTAAATATAATTTTGAAACTACCAGTGAAAACGTGCTAAAAATATATCAGTATAGAGGAATGCCAACATTACTTGATGTCATTTAAATATTCTTCCTTAAATTATCATATGCTATGTATATATACTGTATAGTGTTACATACCCCCAGTCCACAACCTGCAAACCGTTAGTGTAATCAGTGCACAGAGCAACAATATAAGTGATAACCCTAGAGAACATGAAGTGCTACTCTGTTCATTTTAAAGCTACATACAGCGAAATGTGCATATATAGTCCATATCTCAATTATCCACATGCATTAAGAGATACATAATGATTACTAGCCTGTTCCCAACAGACTTGAATTTATTCACTTATTATCTGTGGGGACCATGGCAGTTTTATTATTGCTCTGATAGATCTTCTGCATTTGATGAAAATTGATATTATGACTCCCCAATTTAGAGGTCTGTAGTGAAAAATCAAATAGAGTAACATGTAATATTCATATCACAATGTCTTTTTCATTTATTATGAGGACTCAATACTCGTAAGCTATTATCATCATCATATGGTTGGGGTAGTGCTGACATCCATGACCAGCTTCTGTCTCAAAAGAAACAGTGTTGGTATGTTATTTTTTCTAAGACTTTGGACTAGCCAGGCTCTACGAGAATACAGAGTTCCGATATATGGCGGTAGTAAATACAAGAATGCTGAGTGTAAGTTCCAGCTACAAGAAGCAGAAGACCCAACTACAAGTGCCTTAAACAATAAGGAAAATTTATTACGTCACATATTAAGATTTCTTTTATAGAGATAGGGTGGTATGCGGTGGCATAATTCAGAAGCTCATGAATTTCACCAAACGCCTAGGCTATTTCTATCCTGATTTTCGGCTATCCTCAGTGTGTCTGTTAGTCTCCCCAGACTTGCCAAATGGCTACAGCAACTTCAGGTAAGCTTCGTATAAGATTGTTAAGATGGGATGAAAAGGTATCTCCTCCTTTTGTCTGAAGACTATGGAAATAAATTCCTAGAAGGTGTTGTCTCACTTGTCAGTGATGACAATTGCATCTCTTGTCCATTCACAGAAGTTGGGAGTGGAAAGGCTGTTAAGAGTAAGTAACTGACAGTATCTGTTATGTGGAGGATGAAAAGTAGGTGTTGGAAGTAGCATTGAAAAGGTTAATTGATGAACAATTAATTACTGTACAACATCTATTACAGAAAACAAGTCTATGAATATTTGAGAAAATAAAAAAATGAAGATGGCAATATGTAGGTAAGAAAAATAAATGATAATTTTTATGACAAAAGCAAAAGTACCAGTAGAGAATTAAGTAAAACAAGAAAAAAATTACAGAAATGTAAAACAGTATTATCTTATTAGTTATGTATAGTGAATATCATTATTCTATGCATATGTCCCCTTTATCTTTAATTACATTTCCCTCAAGGGAAATAACACTCATTTTATTTTCAGTATTAGCACAGCACATGGCTTACAGTTTTGTTTTTTTTTCTGGTTCTTAACTGGACACTAACATTTTAAAAATAAACAAGGGAACCCTAGAAAAGTTAAATTATCTGCATTACACAATTTGCAATTCAAGAGGAAAATTATAATGATAAACTAAGCACTTAGCATGCATATATAATATTGTGCTTAGATTCTTAGGCTTACTGACAAATGATAAGCATAAACACTTACACAAACAAGGAGGTAAATTATACTTTAGTTCAAAGCCATCACAGAAGCCATAAAATTCCTCCCTATGCATTTTTGAATTTGAAAATATTGATGATTTATATATACCATGTACTAAATAAAAATAGTCATCAAGAGAGTGACGAGTAAATATTTAATGGATTTGTGAACATTAGACCTATTATTTTTAACTTGTTTCCATTATAGTTAAAAGGAATATTGAAAAAAAAAATCACAGTGGTGTTTTCTGCTGAAGACACCATGTTTTTAAAGGCTCTGAACTCATAAAAATTTTAAAGCTAATAGCAACCTTATAAATTATTTCATCCTGCCTCCTAATTTTACTAATGAGATCCAGGTAGATAGAGTTGAGAGACTTTTTTTTTTCCAGATCATTCAGCTGGTTAGCTGCTTACTAGGAATGACTTCCCCTCTTTGCAGCCTCCATTTGGACATTTTTCACAGGATTTTTCTGTTTTCTTCTCTAATCTGTTACTGTTCTTGATTTTTTTTTCTTTCAGTATTAGAAAACACAGAACTCCCAAACCCAAATTTTAAAGAAAACAAATAACATATATCAATAGTTTACTTAAATTTAAACAATTTCTTTTAAAAACATAACTATGGAGAGATGAATTTTGTTTCAAGTCAGCTGTACTCTAAACCTGTGAAGGGTATTTCCCTCATAAGCTGGGAAATCTAAATACCAGTGCTGTTCCTCACAAGCATCCCATCCTCAGTGTTATCCAAAAGAATATCTAATAACATAGAAGAATGATTACCATAATTATATTACTGAACAAAAAAAATCAACATGTTTCAAAGTCCCTTTCCCAAAACTATGTATAGTCCCTGTAGGAAGACTGGTCTGAAATAGGACATTACCTCCAATCCTTGTTCCTGCACTAAAACCTATCACTCTTCTTTCCTCCAAAGAAAAATGCCCACAAGGGCACATGACCCAACATTATCTTCTGAATACACATCTGGCTTTATATTACTTAAGTCATCTGCTTCATGTAAGCACATCCTTTAGGCAGTTTACACTTGGTCTCATTACTTTTCTCGTCCATTTCCTTTGCTGATAAAATCAGCTAGCTATTTCCCATTCAGAGATTCATTCCTTCAACAAATATTTGTCAAACACCTGGTGTATTCCTGGCATCCTAATAAGCTCTGGGGATATTTTGGTGAGCAAGAAAGACACAATTTCTTTCCTTACAGAGTATTTAGTTCAACAGGGAAGAAAGGCAATTAGATAACTAAGCTCACCGTGCTATTTGCTCTGAACCAGAAATTATGGAGTATGATAAGCGCACATAACAGTGATGTCTAATACAACTTCCAGAGGAAGTTACTTTTAAATTGGATACTGAAGGCTGAGTAGGTAATTCACAGGCAAAACAGGCCAATTTCATTTTCACAATTTTGTTTAAAACTTTTTTATTTTTTAATAGAATCATTAAATGCTATTTTAAGATCTAGAAGCTTTTCATCTGGAAACTCTGTTAAGTCTTTTGTACCAGGATTTAGCTGCCACATCTCAATTTCTGCATTTCCTAGAACTGAAACAACACCTGAATTTAATTTCTGCCATGGCTGTGGTTTCTCAAAAGGGTCACTATCTAAAATATCACTTAACATAACATTTGACTTTGAGATTATAGGGTCCACTCTAGTTCCTCTGAAGTATATATAACCTCTGGGGGACACAGGAGAGTACTCAAATTTGCATGATTTTTAACAAGTTCCCTTCATATACCCTGAAGTTTAAGACTTATTGGCTGCCATCATTGAATGTATATACAGAATGTAACTAAAACCCTCTTCCCCAGTTTTCTTCTAATTTTCTCAAAATGAAGTATATTTGCCCTTTCATGGGAAAGCTATCTCTAGCTGTCCAAATGCCAAAAACTCACCTTGATTATTTTCCCATTACATTACCCTAAGGCACTATGTTGGTATATAAGCATTTCTTGGGACTAAAATGACACATGCCTAGGGCAATCACCAGTTATTGCAGCCCTCTTACTTGGAAGAAGTAGGAATTAGAAAGGTCAGTGTTCGAAATTCCTGTTTCGCCTATCTGGAGTTGTATATTTTTATCTAGGAAAATAAAATCACAGTTACTGTAAGTAACTAGCCTCTGGCCAACTCAGAAAATTGGGGCAAAGTTTATCAAAATACCCTAGAGTTTTTGACTCAAGATCCAATATTTTACCAACTAAATCATTCTGATGCCAAAGTATATTGTATAAAACTATTACTTTAGTTAGGATAAGAGTAGCCTGCTGTGAAAATGACATCTAATGATAATTCAGTGGCTTCAGGAAGATTCAACTTTACAGTGTTTTAAGTTGGGGAGAGTGCATGCTCTACATAGTTTTAAAAAAAATATTATACTTTAAATTCTGAGATACATGTGCAGAATGTGCAGGTTTGTTACATAGGTATGCATGCGCCATGGTGGTTTGCTGCACCCATCAACCCATCATTTACATTAGATATTTCTCCTAATGCTATCCCTTCCCTAGCTCCCCACCCCCTGACAGGCCCCAGTGTGTGATGTTCCTCTCCCTGTGTCCATGTATTCTCATTGTTCAACTCCCACATATGAGTGAAAACATGCAGTGTTTGGTTTTCTGTTCTTGTGTTAGTTCGCTGACAACGATGGTTACCAGCTTCATCCATGTCCCTGCAAAGGACATGAACTCATCCTTTTTTATGGCTGCAGAGTATTCCCTGATGTATATATGCCACATTTTCTTTATAAAGTCTATCATCAATGAGTATTTGGGTAAGTTCCAAGTCTGCTATTGTGAACAGTGCTGCAATAAACATACATGTGTATGTGTCTTTATAGTAGAATGATTCATAATCCTTTGGGTATATATCCAGTATTGGGATTGCTGGGTCAAATGGTATTTCTGGTTCTAGATCCTTAAGGAAGTGCCACAATGTCTTCCACAATGGTTGTACTAATTTACACTCCCACAGACAGTGTAAAAGCGATTCCTATTTCTCCACATCCTCTCCAGCATCTGTTGTTTCCTGACTTTAATGATTGCCATTCTAACTGGCATGAGATGGTATCTCAATGTGGTTTTGATTTGCATTTCTCTAATGACCAGTGATGATGAGCTTTTCTTCACATGTTTGTTAGCCATGCCGTCTTCTTTTGAGAAGTGTCTGTTTAATAAATGGTGTTGGGAAAACTGGCTAGCCATATGCAGAAAGCTGAGACTGGACCCATTCCTTACACCTTATGCAAAATGTAACTCAAGATGGATGAAAAACTTAAACATAAGACCTAAAACTATAAAAACCCAATAAGACAAACTAGTAAATACCATTCAGGACATAGGCCTGGGCAAAGACTTCATGACTAAAACCCATAAGCAAGGACAAAAGCCTAAATTGACAGATGGAACCTAATTAAACTAAAGAGCTTCTGCACAGCAAAAGAAACTATAATCAGAGTGAACAGTGAACAGGCAACCTACAGAATGGGACAAAATTTTTGCAATCTATCCATCCAACAAAGGGCTTATATCCAGAATCTACAAATAACTTAGACAAATATATGAGAAAAATAACAAACAGCTCTACATAGTTTTTAAGTGACCAAGATTCCTTTCATTGGTGCTCTTCCTTTCTCTAGGACATTCTAATTCTCTGTATTATAAGTTAGGTTGCTATAGATTCCAGTTAGTGGGAAGGGGAAGAAGAGCATGGAGAAAGCCCAAGAAATGCATGCATGATTTCCATTCATATTCTAAAAGTGAAAACCTAGTCTTGTGGTCACACATAATTGACATAGAAGCTTAGAAATGTAATCCCTGATTGGGTGGGTGCATTCCCAGCTCCAATTGTGGAAAAAGGGAAGAAACAGATAGTGGTATAAAACTAGCAGTCTCCATAATTGTCCTTTAGAAATGCAAACTGAATCATAATACTTTTGTCATAGATGGGATTACTGGCCCTATGGGAGTGGGGGAGGCTTGCATTTTTTTGTGTGTGAGCATAGAAATTAATTCATTTAGTAAAAAATGGGGCATATTTCCTTTTGGAAAATAGGTCTGTGCCATTTATCTATTGCTGCTTAACAAATCACCTCAAATCTTAGAAACTTAGAACAGGGATCAGCAAACTTTTTATATAAAGGAGAAGATAGTAAATATTTTAGGCTCTCCAGGCCATATGGTCTCTGTTGTAACTAATCAACTCTGCCACTGTAGTGTGAAAGCAACCTTAGACAATGCACAAAATCATGTAGTGGACTGGATTTGGTCCATGGGCCACTAACGCTCAGTTTCAAAGAAAATTTTTATTTTATTTTTTCTCATGAGTCTGTGGGTGATAAACTGTACTCCAGTTAGCAGACAGGTCATCTAGGGCTGAATGGTCTACAGTGACCTTGCTCATATGTCTGGTGCTTAGTCCAGGGAGCCACAGCTGGTATGGTTCATCTCCACCTAATGTGGTCTCTCCTCCCAGCAGCTAGCTCAAGCTTTTTTACATGGCAGTCTCAGGACTACAAGGACAGCAAGCCCTAATGGGCATGTGCTTGTCAAACCTCTAATATTATCAGATTTGCTAGTGTCATACTGGCCAAAGTGAGTCAGCTGGCAAAGCCAGATTGAAGGGGGAGAGAAATGAGTTTTGCTCTTGATGAGAGAAACAGCAAAGTCATATTGCAAAGATGTGTGCATACAAGGTTAGGAGGAATTATTTCAGTTATCCTTGTAAACAGTCTACCATGAAGTCTTTGAAGTAATAAAGGACTTACATTTCAATTCAACTTCAGTAGGTTTTTATTTTCTCTACTAGAAAATTACTTAAGTAGATTCTTAAAATGAACGAATTAAAATGCTTTCTTGGGTTAGAAATGTGAATGTTTTAACAATAACCTGATCTTTACATTTTATAAACTATATCAGAAAATATATGTGTATGACATTTTAAAATATTTTAAATAATTAAATTCCAAGGCCAGAAATGAAAAAAAGGATCTTAAGAATAATCCATATTGAAGACTACCTAGATGTGAGTTTTTAAGTAGGCAACTAAGCAGGGTTATCTCTAGACTGTTTAATCTTTCCTTAAATTTGTTTCCCACAGGGCCTACCTTTAAAGTTTCAAGTTACACATACTGTCTGTCATCATGATTTTTCTATGAGAGCTTTCTAAACTGTGGGGCCTATAGCAGCATCAGTCCTCATATTAACTTATCAAGAAATTTTGAAGAACTGAAGCCACGAAGTTAATCTAATTCAGGGGAATGGGTTAAAATTCCAGGAGGTGCCTTGAGCTTCTATATATATATTTTTTTTGTGTGTGTGTATATACATATGTATATATATATGTGTGTGTGTATATGTATATACACATAAAATATATATATACATGTGTATATATATGTGTGTGTGTGTGGATATATATATATACATATGTACACACAGTGGGAAATAGATTTTTTCTAAACTAATCATAGAAGAAATTTACTATTCTAGTATTAGTAATTGTTTATCTTATTTACAGAAATCTGATAATATTTAGGAGAAACCATTTCATCTATAAAGTCAGTAAAGTCATTTTTACAAGTCCTTCTCTCCTGGAATTTTAATGAACTAATTGAAATGCCTTCTAAGGTGTTAGAAATGTGAAACTGTTCTATGTTCTACAGACAATAGGCTGAATTAAAATGCTACAGTGATACCAGTATTGATGTTTACTATGCACTGGGAATCATGTGAAATGTATCATCCAATGAAAGGTTTTCAGAATCCTATGTGGACCTGTCATATTTAATTTTCCTTTTCAGATGAAAAAAAAAAAAACCTTTAGGTTCACAAAGGTTGGGAAACTTGCCCAAGGTCCAGTGGTATTCTGGTAAGCTGGCACATAGGGAATAAAACCATGATTGATTTAGTGTGCCAATTTTAGAGGTGTAAATAATCTCATCTCGGCTGATTTCAAACTACCTATTATGTCACTGAGCACAATGTTGGGGAGAGATGCACAAAATCATCTATCATAAACCAGTAGGAGGTGACGCTGACACATGACTGCCAAGATCACAGATACAATACGAAGTAGGAGAGCCAGGGTTTGAGCTCCCAGTCGTCTACAAAGCCCATCCTCTAAACCATCATACAGTGATGCCTTCCCAACATAATAAACTACTCACCTGACAAATCATAAAAATTATGAATGTCAATAACATTTTTAGTTTTAGAAACACAGATGTCTTTGTGTACTGTTTTGGAAATTAATACAAGAAATGTTTTTTTCAGAATTATACAAATTATATGATAGAACTCAAGGAAAAGTTTTATGCTTCTTTCATTCCATTATCCTCTCTTTTTCCCTTAAGCTTTCACAATTTCTTTGTGTTATTTCTTATTTGTATTTTATTGGGACAGTTCATCTTAAATTTCTTATGTTTGGCCCACAACAAATTTCTTTGCTGTTTCAGACTGTTTGCTGCTGCTGTTTCTTTTCTTTTTTCTTTCTAAAATAAGGTGGGGGTCACATTTTTAAAATTATTTACCCACTTTGTATCAGAGATTTTTCATCTGCAGATAGGGCTGTATGAATGGTTGATCAATTAAAATAAAACAAAACTATGGACTATACCAGAAACAAATATAGAAGGCCTGAGATAGGGGTTGATGCCTTGAAAATGGATGAGATCCAAAATTATTTGACAGAAATAAAAAAATCATTTGGTGATTAATAGGGACTCATTTTAACAATTTGGAAACAATTGAACTTTTCAAGCTGATAGCACTTTTTTCACAACATAAATAAAATTGTACTTGGGTACTCCCTTCACTTAACAGATTTTACACCAAGAATTTTTATCCTTTGTTAAAATCAGAAAGTACTCAAGAATACCATTTACCATTATCATGAATTGAAAGAATGATGAATGAGAAAATCTATTTTTCCCAAATTATCTTATATGTGTTAAGCTTTAAAAAATAAGGAAAACAATTTTGCAAATTGGTATGAATTTCTATCTGATTGGTTGAGGGGACATTTATGAAACCATACCTGTGATGATAGATCAATGCATGGTTGCACTATATGAGAGTAAGCAAAGAGTTTTAAAACTCATCAGGATTTTCGTAATTTCTTCAAATGTTTGAATTGAAGTGAGTAGATAACCAGCAAATTTTCTCGTATCTTTCTGTGAAAATATAAAGGTATAAATTAAGTTGGCTCTTCTTTTCATAAAATGAGTTCCATTGTTTATTTTCTTCCAATATAAAGACAGAATATATGCTGTGAAATAGCTAGTTGATAATGGATTATTATCACAGTCAATAAGTTAAAAAAAAATCTTACCTTTTGTCTGATGTGTCAGTTTTATAAATCCATGGCAAAATTGAGTGGCATCTTGATTTTCTGTTGAAATTATTACTTTTATTATGTAGATTATGTAGCATATCTTAGTTTTCAAGAGTTGTACAAAATGGTGAATAATAAATTTTTTTTTTTTGCCTAATGCATTTTCAAGTACCTCTAGGTGAATGAAAAAAAAAATGGACAGGAAATAGAATCAGTTTAGAATATTGTCAGGTTCTAATAAATTAAAACCAGCAAAGGAAACAATATGGAACTCTGAATCAGGAAATACAACCAGAAGTGAATTCAATTTAAATGGTGGTTAATTATAATTAAACTTCAAACAAAATTTGTAAATCATGTATAAGGCCACTGAATGAAAATTATAACAAAGTTTGCATTTTGTGTCTTTTTATTTACTTTTTATTCCTCAACTCCTATCCTGACATTGGTATTGTCCTCTGAGAAGCCATTTTATGTGACAAGTAGAAGATAGTTTAAGAACAGAACAGAAGACCAAACACCACATGTTCTCACTCATAGTGGGTGTTGAACAATGAGAACACATGGACACAGGGAGGGGAACATCACACACTGGGGCCTGTCATGGGGTGGGGGGCCAGGGGAGGAATAGTAGGGGGTGGGGTGATTGGGGAGGGATAACATTAGGAGAAATACTTAATGTAGGTGACAGGGGGATGGGTGCAGCAAACCACCATGGCACATGTATACCTATGTAACAAAGCTGCAGGTTCTGCATATGTACCCCAGAACTTAAAGTATAATTTTATAAAAATTTTTTAAAAACTATAATAATGATAAGGGCTAGACAGGAATCTTGGGGAGAAAAAAAATAATTAGCTCAAAATTTAACCAACATCCTCCTTTTTTTTTTTTCTTTTTTTTTGAGTACCAATAAGTCTTTATTTATTCATTGTATTTTTCCAGGGAAAGGAGAAGGTAAGGGAAGAGTCAGCATGTGTTAATAAATGATTAGAAAATGGGAAAGGAAATACCCAGTACAGCAAAATCAGCCATCAAATAAACGCACCCCAGTGATGGGGTCACCAAAGCCCAAAGGGGCTCAATCTCCTGCAGTTTAGGAATGAGGGAAAGGGATCAGGAAAAGAACAGACAGGTACAGGCTTTCCTACCCTCCCTCCCATAAATTCAAGATTTTACACAAAGCTTTGGTTTCTAGCAGTAAACATGGAGTTACATTTGTTTGTCTCCTATTAAATAATCTTGTGGCCACTTTGACATAAGTTTCTAGCACCTACATAAAAGTTTCTGAGTGACTTGAATAAAAATTTATATTCCCTTTCTTGGCCTCCTGACCCCACTTTCTATATGGAAGGCCCCCAATTGTATCTCTCTACTTTAGGATTAAAAATTAAGTAGGTTCGATCCACCTAAAATACAGCAGTGTCTTTCTTTTCTTTTCTTTTTTTTTTTTTTTTTTTGAGACGGAGTCTTGCTCTGTCACCCAGGCTGGAGTGCAGTGGTGCGATCTCAACTTACTGCAACCTCTACCTCCCAGTTTCAAGTGATTCCCCTGCCTCCGCTGTAATCCCAACATCCTCCTAAAAGATGGAAAGTGATAGTGATGGCATAACTGCTGCCTCAGCCTAAAGAAAACAAAACTACTGTACAAAATACCTCTGTTCTTTTCAAAGCCAAATGATTTTATTTACTATTCCAATGGCTTTACTCGTTCAAATTTCATCGCTCAGCAGATAGAAACTGCACCTTACCAATAACATAGTCATATTGGCTTTTTTCCCTTTATAATTAAAGATTTTAAAGTTTTCTTCTGCATATCACATTACTCTAGACATACATGCTATTTCTCTTCAAATTTTGTTACTAAAAAGTGTGAGCCTCACTTACTAATACATGATAATTGACAGCTTTTTTTACTTTAGGAAAGTATGGAGATGACTGGCTGTTGCATAAAACTTTAGACTGTAGTAAATCCTGTTTCGCTCATAATTCTTGGTTAGAATTTTATTGACCTGTAAAATGCATGACATTTTAGGAGCTTGTAGTAATTTATTTTATCTGTAAAAAGAAGTATCACTGATGAACATTAAATCTAGACATATTCTAGTTTAAACAGATGGTAAAGCAGAAGTAGTGAGAAACTAAATAAATAATAAATAAATTAAAGATAAGTCAGGATTAGTCACAAAGTGAAAATGAAAGCTCTAATAATGACAAGGTTGTGAACAAAACAGTTAAAGAAAATGCAAGACACATAGCTTGGATATCTAAATTCTATTTTTTTTCATAATTTTCTTGGCTTCATTTTATTATGGAATTATCAAATTTAGCTCAATGAATCTAAAACATGCTGAACTTGTGGGGAGTGCTGCCGAAATTTTGCAGCATAAACATTAATTTTGTAGGTCCTTAATATAACCTCTATATTGTCAAGTTGTTACATTTAATAGCTTTACTCCTTCAATGAAGATGACTATAATTTCCCTTAGTTAACTATATTTGGTTATATAAACAAACCATTTCAGTAGTAGACCTTGCTTTTTATCGTAAGCATTTTATTTTTATATTAATTTTAATTTCCAGAAAACAGTTGATAATGTTTAAATTGATCATTTTTAGGGAATGCATGTTTGTCATAAGCAACATAAATAAACACATTAATTGCCTTGTCATACTTTTATCTGACAGATGGGTCCCCAGGCATAAAGCCTAACCTTTTATTTTGACACCTGCCACATTTTGCCAGCCCTGACCCTTTTTTCTTTGCCAGAATGTCACTGTGTTCACCATGGTTGCACTAATCTCCGGCTTTTAAAAGGCATAATATTGGAACCCTTCTGAGAATCACTGCTATCAATCAGCTGATACTACAACATAAAGATTTCACAGATCTATCCAACATCCCTTCTCTCCTGCGATTCAAGCACATTTTCTCTTATTTCTATGACCTACTGGCTCAGTAAGATTACATGGAGATTGTTTTAATCTAAGGCCCCATATTGTTAATATCTGACACAAACAATTTAATTTAGCCGTAATTTCAAATTTAGAATTTACTGAAGAATAAAAAAAGAAACTATGATTTCATTTTTGTACTAAGGGAAACTTTTCAGCTGTGAAGCAAATACGCTATTTTAATATAGCTAAGGAGTTAAAATCAATCTGAACATTTTTCTTTTTTAACAAAAGCATCAAGGCAATAAAACATGTTTTGAAAATCATCGTGCACTCAATCTCATACCTACACCTTTGATTTCTGGGATGATTCCAGAAGCCATTAACATATGATTTGTGTCTGGGTTAGTACAACTAAAAGCACATATCTGGTCCAGTAAAGAGTGGGGTTTGGTTCTAAAAAGCTGTGCAAATCGGAAAATCGGAGAACATGCAGAGGGCAGGTGAATTGTAGGAGCTCATCCATTATTAAGATAATTTGGTATAAATTTTAAGTATTTCCTCCTTGAGCAAAATCAGACTATAATTAACTATGAAAAATGTTGTAATTATTCTTTTTTGTGACTAAGTTAGAAACAAAAGAAATAGAAAAGTAGGTATGTAGGAGATAGGTTGTAGTAGCAAACAGGTAGCTCCACAAGATCAACACAGTTTGGTTTACAATCTCATTGCAGAGATATGGATGCCAATAACTTGTCTTTCAAATGTGGTTTTGATTGGTTCTGAAATAAGCTTGTTTGGTATAATATGAAAAGCCTGGGACTATGCTCTGGTTAAGCTAAGCTTCTTGAATAATTCAGAAACATGTTTGTGCCAGCTAGGATATATATGTACATTGTAAGAAGTGTGGGATCTGTGTCTCAGGACATTCAAAGAAAATAATGTTTCATGCCTTGGCCTAAGGGGTACTGGAGGTAATTCTAGAATTCTAGCAGCTTTACGTATTTCAGCCTCAGCAGTTTTTTAATCTTTGGTGATCTACTATTAATATGACTCAGCTGCATTGCACATATTCCTCTTTCTGCCCTGCCCCAATCCAACTTTCACAGATTACTCAAAGTTTCTGCTACTTCACATTTTAACCATGTCTCAAACCTTTGACTGTCACAGAAAAATTTTTTTCTTCACGTATTATATCTAAATCCAGAGACAAAAAGTGATGAGCCCAGCTCATTTTTTGCAGCCTGGCCACACAGTTCATAAATGGCTGGCCAATCTGCTTTTTGGCCCCACTCCATTCAGCTGTAAATTTGAAGAGTTCGTGTTTGGGTTGGGTTAGTGTTAGGGTTAGATCCTGTGTGAGTAAACATAGCAATTTAGATGGCAGATGTTCTGGATGAGGATGATTCTCTTAGAAGGGATATGTCATGATTGACACAAACAATCTCAAAGTGTGGTCCAGAGACTGGAGCTTTTCCATATGCTATTTGTTATCCATCCAAAACAATAAGCACATTGAGATTAACAATTTAGGAACTCTTAGAGCTATTTGCTAAAGTAATTTAATGGCTGTTGAATCTAGTAATAACATATTTGGACTTGTGTTTTGTTTAATCTATTTTCTTAATTTTCTAGTAATTCAATTATATTACTAAAAAATAATGGTTGGCAGCATATTGGGCGGGGTGGGAAGCTGGTCTTTCATTGCAGATATTTTGAGAGAAATTGGATTAGAAGACTCCTAGACTCTAATTGTGGTGCCTCCTTAACCAATTAATAATGATCAAATCTTTATTATCAAATTATAATTCTCTGAACACCAGTTTCCTCCTAAATAAGCAAGGACTATAATGGCAGTAACTCACCTTTCCAAGTTATCAGTCGTGAGAAGACACAGTAGAATGAATTTTGAAAAGCTGTAAGATGCTAATCAGAATTAAGTTAAAATTTTTCTCTATCAATACAAACATACATAACCATATACATGTCACATGGGAGAATTAATCGCCATACTCAACATTATCATAATAAATATATTTATTTTAAGTCTTATCACATTCCCATATAAAATGTAAGATATGGGCAGTGTGGATTTATATTGCTTGTTTCTGTTGTATTTACCAGTTTTTACAGAAGGCAATTTAGAGAGCACATTGATAAAGATGGACGTAGCACTCTGTTCTCAATAAGTTACAGTTTAGATGATTGCATATAAAAGTTAAATAAAAATATTAAGCAGCATAACTCTAAGAACTATTTAGAGAAAGAACATATTTAATAAATGAATGATACAAATGTTAAAGACCAAAGATAGTCAGAGGAAGGAGAGAGGATTTCATGCTACTGTGGCCAGAGGAGAACAGACAGGATTTACAGAGTGTTTTGAAGAATGGACAAGATTTTGATAGATGGAAAGGATGAATGGGGTTATTCTGGGTAGAACAAAACTTTCAAGCAAAACTGTAAGGTCAGAACATCTATGTATACATATGTGTGAATATGTCTGTGTGTGTTCTGGTAGAGAAATGTCAGAAAATATATGAAATTAGAAATATAAATAAAATTTAAAATCCTGAAAGTCAAATTGCAAAATGCAACCTTAATTTGTTTCATTTTTCCACCTATAGTATGATAGTAAGTTATTAAAACTGGGCCCTTTGAAAAAAAATTTCTTTTGCATATATATGTATATATATATATATATAATTTACTGTCATATTTGTTAAATGTAAATGTTACAAATGAAAAGTAATGTAACAAAGAATTTTCTCCAAATAAAACACAATGCATTATATTGAATGACTTTTTAATCTCAGAAACAATAAAAAGAATAAAAACACAATTTAAAAAATATTAGTATACTTTCCTGTGATCTTCTTACATCTCAATCTATTGCAAAAAACAAACTGAATGACAAGAATTGATTCTCCTGATGGGCAACTCATTATTACTTTACAATAGGGTCACAATAATTAAATTACAGAATATTGCATAGCATGATGTGATTTTGGACCACTGGACCTACAGTGCCTCACTTAGAAAAGTCCACCTAGTAAAAACACTATTATTTTAATAAGTACTGTGATATTGTTAATAATGCAATCTAGTGATTTCAATACAGGCTTTCAGCATTTCACCATTCAATCATGTCATATTAATCTGAAGTACCAAAGTACTGGTAATATTGTTTGTATAATATTGTTTTATTATTATGACATTTTTACAGCATACAATTAAAATCAATGATTTAATTGTTCAATTTATACAAAAAAGACAGGCAAATCATCCACACATACTAAGCAAACATACCGTGGTACTGCAAACTTGTTTTGCAAGAAGAATCCTACTCTGATGACACATGTGTAAGGTGGTGTTGATAGGGAGAGAGGTAACTCTGCACAGGTATCTCCAAGTACACAAAATAAAAGATGGTGAGTACAAACTTGGAAATATTTTAAAAAATAGAAATAAAAATTATAGGTCGAACGTAATTAAAAAGACTGCAGTTCTTGAAAAGAAAAAAGGTAATAACAGATCTTATATTTATGAAAAAAGTAGGATTACCTGAAGATGAAGGAATCAAAGGAAAATATGCAGAAATAGTTTACAGCTTCCTCTAGAGAATTTCCCTGAGCAGTGTAGATGTGAAGATAACTTTTGGAGCAGTTAGAAAAATTACCACAAAATGGTTCAAATGAAGCTTTGCTTCTTTATGTCACAAATCTATAAAATGAAAGAATATTCTTTTGCTTTCCATAATCTTAATCTTTTTTTCCACTTAATCTAGTATTTTGTTTGCTATTTTAATAATACTTTAATTGAATATGAATAATTTATACTGGAATGATGTTTAATATTCCCATACTATGTACTATAAATTTACATTTTGCTTGTTGCATTCTTCCTTGTAATGTTATTTGTAAATGCTTGTATTTGAAATGTATGAAATATTTATTCATTTACTTATTTATTTATTTATTTATTATACTTCAAATTATGGAATACATGTGCAGAAGGTGCAGGTTTGTTACCCAGGTATACACGTACTATAGTGGTTTGCTGCACCTGTCAACCCGTCATCTACATTAGGTATTTCTCCTAATGCTATCCCTCCCCTAGTCACCCCCGACCCCTGACTGGCCCCAGTGTGTGATGTTCTCCTTTCTGTGTCCATGTGTTCTCATTGTTCAATTCCCACTTAAGAGTGAGAACATACGGTGTTTGGTTTTTTGTTCCTATGAAATATTTATTTAGCCTTTTTTCATTGCTTCTTAATGATATTCATATAAACTACCAGAAGTAGTTTATACAGTGTGGACAAATAGTGGAGGATATTTGAATTTGAAAAATCAGTAACTTAAAATTCTTATTAAGGAATCACTGGAGGTTTTTGGACATGACCAGAATGATATTTTACAAGAAGGAAGTATGTATAGAGAGCCAAGTTATATCATTGTTTTTTATATTCTAGATCAACATTAAGTAAGAGACTATAGGCAAAAAGGGAGAATTCAAAGGAGGGTGCAGACGAAGGAATACTGTTGAGGGAAAACCCCACACAATTTGTCAACCCCAGACATGTGGGAAAGAGTCAGAGCCAGGCTAATATCCAAGCTTGGTTTTCTAGGATTATGGTCTTAATATCCAGGTACTAGGAAAACGTGTTTAGAGAAGAGAGAAGCTTTCAGATGTGTTGCTTTTGAGGTGATGGTGGGATATCAGGTTGACATTTTTTTCTTGTATATCTTTTAAGGTAGCATTTCATCTGTCTTTTCTCCCTTGTACTACACTCTCAGTCACTTGAGAACTAGGGGTTTGGTCAGTGTTCCCGAGACTTTCACGTAGCACTTCATTCTGTCATCTTAGTATGTATGTTTTCATGGTGAATGAACAAATGAATAAGGTTGCTTTTACTGACCACCTTTTATCCCTGAAATTCTGACGTCCCAGAGTAGGGGATCTTAAGATCAATGCTAATAAAGTTAATAAAAAGACTAGAATGTTGGTTCTCAGCCCTGAATGCACACTGGAATCACTGGGAGGATTTTGAGAAACACTAATGCTCCACCTACAGAGATTCTGATTTAATTGCCCTGGGTGGGATTCACAAAATGGTATTTTTAAATGTTCCCCAGACAATCTGAAGTACACCCAAAGTTAAAAACTTTTGAGTTACAGAGTAAGTGTAGGCTGGGGAAACTTGAATTTTGAATTTAGTTTAAGATTAATTTTCACATACTATATTTACCCCAACAATCAAATCCACCCAAATCAATCTTCTCACTGTCTCTATGCAATGGAATTTAATACCTAATAGATAATGTACATAGAAGAAAGAACTGATCTTAATAGAAAATTCAACTTTTAAGATCTGTATGTAATTATCTGAGATTTGAATATTCAAAAAGAGTATGTTACAGAACCAGAAAGCACGCCATCATAACTCATGCATGGGTGTTTTATTCTGTTCATGCAGTTATCCATTCATTTAACCAACATTCATATTTAATTATGTTTTGGTTGGTTATAACTGGAATTTTAATTAGTATCAATGTGATTCCAAAACAGGCTATTTAAAATTTTAGAATGTATTGATCCTTAATACACATGATGTGATTATTAACAGTATTGATTATCTGGAACCCTGGTAAGACCTTCAAGGTCATTATGGATTTTGAATCCTCTATGCTTTAAAGAGCATTACACTGCACTTGCTGAGGGAGCGGATCCAACTGAAGTAGACATGTCTAACTTTTTAATGTTCTTATTATTTGGTCTTGGTCTCTCTTTAAACACAGATATAACACATATTTTGAAGTACTTTTTACATTGTACATCTCGCCAAACAGCCAATCAATATTAATGAATCCTTCTTGTTTTAGAAAGTAATTGAACGGTTTTAATACTACAGTTGCTAACTCAGGATCCATTAATTCACTTTGAAATTAACTGATTTATTTTCCTTCATAGTTTCCTAAACTGAAAGAAGAAAATATTTCGATTTACTTTTAGTTTTAGTTTTTTCCTGAAACCAGCTTCAAAAAACCTGAAGCCTTCTGGGAAAGGAGAGGACTCAGACTATATGTAAATATTTGAGAGGGCAATTCCTTAAAATCTAAACATGTACCACTCCCCTATCCCTGCCCACGCTTGCTGAACATGGCGTAGGTAGATGGTAAATTCTATAAACAAGTTATCTCTCTTTAGAAACATACAGGGATGGAGTAAAGCGACAAAGAGGAAAGCAGCCAGGAATAAGGACTATGCAATAGATGATTGCAAGCATGGGCTTGGGAGCCAGGCAGCCTGGGTTAAAATCCCATCTCTGACACTCACCAGCGATGTAACCCTAAGCCAGTTATCCTTGATGTCTAATTTTCGTAAACTATAAAAATGGGGATAAATGGACTGCCCACTTTTTTAAACTGTTGCAGGGATTAACTAAGTTGTGAGGGCTGGAAAGAAATGGAATCTTACCCAAATCTCCCATCTCCCCAAATCCTTGACAACATTCTTTTCCTCCCTTGGCTTCTAGGATGCTGCCTCATCCTTATTTCCTCCTACCACTTTGATTATTCTTCAAACTCAGACTGTGCAAGACCACTGTCTTTAAGAGCAGTCTACTGGACAACCCTCAATGTCATGGCATCCTATGAAGTTCCTTCCACCTGCTTAAGAAACTTCTCCAAGCTTTGCCTCTTACTGTCTAAGCTGATGTTTTTTTCATGTTTCTTTGCTCAGTCCCTTTAGATGGACTTACACTTGGATGGCTGACCAGGCTTTTGATTTGGCGTATTTCTTCTCAGTTTATCATTCTAGCACCGCAGTGCTTGCTGTGGATGACTGGTACTCAGCCCTCTGCACTGGACCAGGCATCCCGGATTCTACCCAGGCCCCAGGTCTGGAAGCCTCACTTTTCTCCTTGGGATGATTACACAGCCCCATACTAGACTTCTTTCTCTCCAATCACTGCTTACAGGATCTAGGACCCTCTGGTTTGCTTATTCCCCACATTCACCTTTTTCTCTAATTTCAGCATTCATAGATAGGTTAATGGAAATAATGATTTAAGCTTGATTGAGTGCTATCATATACCAAGCACTGTTTTGAGATACATAGTATTATTTTCCTCATTTTGCAAATGGGGAAACTGAGGCCCAGAAGTGGTGGGTAATATAACCAAGTCACACAACGAAGGAAAGACTGACAATCCCAGTCCCTTTACTGGGTGTATACTGAGTACGAATTTTAGAAGCAGAGTCACTTTCTGGGTGGGAATCCTGCTTGGTTTGGGATCTGCATGGCCTAAGGTAAACTATTTAACAGGTCTGTGACTTGGTTTATAGTTTATAAAATGGGGATAATTATGCATATCTCCAAAAGTTTGTTTATGTGAGTGTTAAGGGTATAAGCACATGTTGAGCAATTAGAACCCGGCACTTACAAAGTACTTTAATGGTTTGTTATTATTAGTATTATTTTGTTTTGTTTTTTGAGACAGGATCTCCCTCTGTCATCCAGGCTGGAATGCAATGGTGTGATCTGAGCTTCCTGCAGCCTCAACCTCGCAGGCTGAAGTGATCCTCCCACCTCAGCCTCCCAAGTAGCTGAGACCACAGGCAAATGCCACCATGCCCAGCTAATTTTTTGTATTTTTTGTAGAGACAGGGGTTTCGCATGTAGCCCAGGCTGGCCTCGAACTCCTGAGCTCAGGCGATCTATCCGCCTTGGCCTCTCAAAGTGCTGGGATTACAGATGTGAGCCACCACATCCAACCTAGTATTATTACCGCTGTTATTACTGTGTACTGCCTCTCATAATGTCCAAATCACTATCTTTTCTACAAATTTCTCAAGTTCCAGACCTATTTATCCAACTCTACCAGACACCTGCATATTTCACAAATGTCTCAACTCCCTGTTATCTCCCTAACTTATTATTCTAGTAAAACTTACCTTGGTGAATATCATCATCACACCAAGCACAAAAGTTACTCAAGGATCCTCCTTTTTAATTAATTAACCTCAAAAGTTGATTTTCCCATATTTTCCCAGCCTTGTATCTTATCCATCTTCCCTCCTCTCACCCTTACCTGAAGCACACTCATTTCCAGTAATTTTGAAATACTTGATGTTAATTTATTTCATTAAAAAGAAAAAAAAAAAGGAACCCTAAGGAAAACTTACTGTATGCTAGGCAAGACACTGATGATGTAAATATGAACAGGACCTAATCTCTGCCTTCAAGAATTTCACAGTCGAATTAGAATCTTACCCAAATCTCCCATCTCCCCAAATTAACAAGCACATTACAAACACATTAACAAAGAGCTGAACTCAATGTGGTGAGGGCTTACAAGACATAGGTCAGGATATTAAAAGAAGGTAGAAAAGATTATGGATGGCCTGGTGAAGAAGGCGATATCAGAGCTCAGTCTAATTTGATAAACAACATGGTACCAGACTCTATGCTAGGGGTTGGGGTATTGTTTATGAGTTGGAGAATCAATGGAAAGGAAAGCATCAAAATCTATTTTAATATAAAGTAGTGAATGCTAAGATAGAGGCACAGCATGTTCTCAAAATGCAATCAAGGTATTTGTAGTTTATCAATAAGAAATTTAGAGAATAGGTCAGGAAGTTTAGTGATAGTTTATACAAATTCCTCTGCTTGATCTGACTTCTTTCATTTTCTTTTCCTGGAAAAACCCATGTTTAAGACTCCAGTTGATACCTTTAGTTCGAAGCTGATCCCAAGTGCATTTGATTCTCAGTGTCTCAGTGTCCTGTCCACCCCACTCCACCCTCAACATTTTGTCTCTTTTTGAACACTGATCTATAAGAGCAAATGTAACTTATTTTTTCAGTTTGATTATTTACACAGTCATCTTCCTCTCAATCTATTATCAAGTGTGTTGTGAAGAGTTTGCCTTAAAAAGCTCAAATTTCTTAGAGTAATCCAATGAATTATCACATTATTGTTAAATCACTTGTCATGCATATTTTCTTCACTGAACATAGGAGCATTTTCCCTAATGTTTCCTATATGCTGAACACTGAACAATCATACCTACCATGGCTGGTGAGCTCTGATTCATGTGGCATCTTTGTACACTCTGGAAAGGAGTTGTATTTGTTAGCTCAGGACAAAACATCATAGAATAGGTAACTTAAACAACAGATATGTATTTTCTCACAGTTTTGGAGGCTAGAAGTTTGAGATCAGGGTGCCAGCTTGAATGGGTTCTGGTGAGCCCTCTTCCTGGCTTGCAGAGGCTGCCTTTTTTGCTGTGTTCTCACATCACACACACACATATTTAAAAGGGCACTGATCTTTAGGGCCTCACTCTTATGATTTCATCTAAACCTAACTTTCTTACAAAGCCCCATCTCCAAATACCATAACATTGGTGGTTAAGGGCTTCAACACAGAATCTGAGCACTGGGTGGAAGCACAGATCAGTCTGGAACATTCCACCCAAACCATTACTCACATGGATTTGCGGGTTAGCCCCACCCTTTCCATCCTGTGGGGTTGCCAGCCCCAGCCCCAAAGCTCTGACTGACTTGAGTCCTCTGAGTGGTTCTGCCTCCAAAGATCTGAGCGGAGACTGTCCAGCCTGTTGAAACTGAGGCTGTGGCTATATCTCTGCATTGCCTCTGGGGCCATTTTTTCCTCTCCTTGAAAAATAGTACAGATAAGCCAACTAGCCCATCATATCAAATCCAAGGTGTCTTGAAGCCTTCATTCTTTTTCTCCCATCTTCATCCCCTTCAGTTCAAACTGGCAAAATTTCTGCTCACATAATCTCATAAACCCTTATCAAACGGTTGTCCAGTCAAACTCTTAGTGTTCTTTTCAGAACAAGTTTTTTCATTTTTGTACAATATAAATAAGCTGAGAATTTCCCAAATCTTCAAGTTCTGGTTCCTTTTTGCTGAACAATTTCTTCCTCAACTTACCCTTTTCTTTTTGCATTCACCAAAAACGGTCAGGAGAAAACCAGCTGCTCCTTTATCACACTGCTTAGAAATCTCAAATATTTACTTTCATCACTCACAAGTTCTACCCTCCCCAAAACACTAGAATACCATTCAGCTAAGTTCTTTGCCACTTTCTAACAAGTATCACCTTTCTTCCAGTTTCCAATAACATATTATTCAATTCCATCTGAGTCCTCACCAGAATCACCTTTACTGTCTGTATTTTTAGGATGCACCTGAAAATTCTTCCAGCCTCTGCTCACTACTCATTTCCAAAGCCATTTCCCCATGTTTAGGTATTAGTTAACAGTAGCACCCCCATTTCCTGGTACCAAAATTTGTCTTAGTTCAGGGTGCTATAACAAAATACCATAGACTGGGTGGCTTCAATAAGATAAATTTATTATCTCACAGATCTAGAGGATAATGCCCAAGATTACAGTACCAGCAAAGTAGATTTTATTCTGAAGCCTCTTCTCTTTCTCATAGGTGGTTGTTATCTCACTGTGTACTCACATGACCTCTTTGTGTGCCTGTGGGGCAAGAGAGAGAGAGAGGGCAAGCTCTCTGGTGTCTTCTCTTTTCAGGGTACTAATCGTGAAGGCCCCACACTCATGACCTCATCTAATACTTATCTCCCAAAGGCCCCATCTGCAAATATTATCACATTGGAGATTAGGCTTTAACATATGATTTTTGGGGACACAATTCAGTCCAAAGCAGGTGCCCTTCCTCAAGACACTTTATGTCCATCTGAAGGCAATTTGTCATAATAAACTAATTTTATTAGAAAAAGGTGTCCTATTGCCATCTGCCAGGAAACTGTTGTAATAAATACTGAAATCTGCAAAGTCTACCATGTGAATGCTCCTTTGGAATTACACAGTAAACAACCTGTGTAACAATTATTCATCACAGTCCAGGTTAATTCATTTTTGTCCTCAACTGACAATTTTTATGTATGATAAGGAAAATCAATGCTTCAAAAATCCATTAAATCAGAAATAAGAGGTTTAGATAGGTAAACTATTTACTCCAAAATTATTACAAAGAAACGCCATCTTAATAAGTAAAGAGTGTGTAGTATATAATTTCAATTTGACAAGACATAATGCTGTGTCACTAAAAAATTGGGCTATAAAAAGTGATAGCTTTTTGCTGAATTTGAGTACAATAATTACTAAGAAAATCCGTTATTTAATAAAAGCAGCTGAGAACCTGTCAGATTCAAAATCACAATGTTGAAATTGACCTAAATAGGTCCACATGTTCGTAATCCTGTTTCCAGAAGGGACCATCCTTAAATCACCCAAAGTAAATGAATACCTTCTTACATAGAGATTAACAATTCATACTATAAAAAATCTTTCCTACACTTAATTTAAATCCATGGTACTTAAAATTTAACCTCTTTTCTCTTGTTCTCTCAATGTCAGAATAGATGTTGCAGCAAATATAAAGTGCCTAGAATGTGGCAGGAACTCTGTAGATGGTTAAAAAAAAAAATTAATTCATGTAGAACCCTTCTTATTCATGTATTTAGAATACTTTTCAGGCTTCCTTCTTTCCTGGCAAGTTACACTGTTAAATGTAGTACAAGCAAATATTAATAAATAATCAACTAGTTCATTATACAGTCTGAAATTTTCTTTTTAAAATATGCCATACGGCAGATCATGATCTTAGGTTTCTATTAGAACACATACTGCAGACATGCAAGATTTAACAGGAAGGGAGTAACACTGTAAGCAGCATTGCTTTCAGATCTACAGAAAATGGCATTCTAAGATTTGTGCCAATCCTTCATTTTTAAAAATTGGGAATGCCTATATTTAATAATTTTAGACAATTTTTTAAAAAGAAAATGAGCAGTGTCTTTTCATCACCATGGGCCTTTTACCTATTCTCCTTTTCTTAACTATTTCATATTTTCTAATCTTTTCTCAATATTTCATGATAATTTTTTCCATTCAGCTTCTTATTTCCACATAAAACTATAACATGTTAGAATTTCTCACAATCATCTTTTCTTTCTTTCCTTCGGATTATTTCCTTTATCATAGATTATTTTAGATATATTAGAGTACTTAATGTGTTTGGATTACCACAATAATAATTGGACATAGGACCAATTCTGTACTGACAGATTTTCTTCATTTTATGTAGTCCTATTAAAAGCAGATTTTTTTTATTGTTTTAGTTTTTAACATTCCATGTGCGGAATATTTGTGCTATTTCATGGTAGTTTTACTTTTAATGATACTGGCACATTTAGTGTATTTCCAGTTTTTTAAATTGCATAGAAATAAGGATCCTCAACCGCTGCAGTATGAGGGTAGGAGTGGTGCTCCTGTTTTCCTGGTTCTTCGTTACAGCCCGCCTTCAGGAATGGAAATCATCATGGCATAACTGGAGAGCAGCTTATCAGCCACATAAGCTTAGGGAATCTAAAGGAAGAATGCACTGGTTAATTGTGGGTAAGCACAAAAAATAACAAGATCACGTCCTTTACAGGGACATGGATGGAGCTGGAGGCCATTATCCTTAGCAAACAAACTCAGGAAGAGAAAACCAAAAACCGCATGTTCTCTCTTATAAGTGGGAGCTAGATGCTGAGAACACATGGACGCATAGAGAGGAGCACACACTGGGGGCTTAGGAGGGTGAAGGTTGGGAGGAGGGAGAGGATGTGGAAAAAAAAACTAATGAGTACTAGACATAATACCTGGGTGATGAAACAATCTGTACAACAAACTCTCATGACACAAGTTTACTTATGCGACAAACCTGCATTTGTACCCCTGAACTTAATATAAAAGTTAAAAAAAGAAATAATGGGATCATTTCCTTAATTTCAGGGAAATGTAGCAAGAAAAAAAATCTTCTTAAAAAAAGACTAAAATTTATATTTCTTTAGCAATTAACATAAGTTTTTTTAACCATTCAGCAGTTAATTTTCACACATTCTCAAAAGATTCAAAAAGCATTATCCACACTTCAATGATTTGATTAATTTTTTTTTTTTTTAGTGAATCAAACAACTTTTTTTTTCCTGATTGCATGAACTGATCGGGTGTTTGATCACTTTAGTGGATGTTGACAATATTACTAATGCCAACAGTTCTTCTGATTAAACTTTGAACTGAGATTATCATGAACTTGACTTTTAATTTCTCATTAAATATGAAAGTTCATACTTATTTCCTTGATGTTTTTTGAAAATTCTCTTGCAAACTATGTCAACTCTCTCTTGGAGAGGAATTAAAAACAAATTTACCTCCTTGATTTTATCAGTTGCCATGTTACTCAAAGTTGTTTTTGTTTTTGTTTTGTTTTGTCTTCTTTAGAGAAAAACCCATTAATCTAAGCAGCAATAATATTAAAAGAATCTATGATGTTTTTAAAGTATTGCTACAATATAAATGAGAGTTATTAATCTGCGACACACCAATCCAACTCCACAGGAAATCTACCTAATTACATAATAAACAGGTTGCTCCTTTTCTGCCACCTACAGCCTTTTCTCTTTGTTAATACGATTATAGTAGCTGCTAATCTCTATAACTTGAAAAACCAGGCACACAAGCTTAGAAAGTCACTGATAAATAAGTTTTTAAGATGGGGCCTTCATTGTTTGTGAAGAGCTCATCATTCAACAATTACATGTTTGACAAGTTTAACAAGCTCAAACTTGACAATGAAATGGACTGCTGCTTAAAACAATACAAAACATCCTTTTAGGGGAAATTGATAAACCTCTTCTGGGGAAATGAGATCCATTTTCATGTCGACTGAGTTTAAGTTGCCATGAAAGTGATAATATAGGGGGAAAATAAATGAATTTTTATTACATATTTAGTGTTAATTCAGGTGCCTCTTGATATCTCCCCAAATTAATTTGTTAAAAATAAAATAGCCTGTTGACAATCTATTTTTATAAATATCTTGTCAAGAAACATTTATGTTTTCTATAATTTAATTGTAGTTTTTCCTTAAGCTATAACAAATAGTGTTTGTGGTACAAATGCCATTTATATCCAAAACTTACTTAGATTTCAAAATATTTTTTATAAATTTATTTGCACATTGTTTCATCCTGAATCATATTCCTTCTTGCTGGATTTATTTATTTCTTAATGAAATATGTCCTTTAGCCTATTTTTCAAGTGAATATAGGGAATTCTGTGTCATTGTGCATCTTTAAACTTCTTTATTCCACCCTCTCTCTTAAATGTTTAACTTTACATTGAGATTTATCTTGTCAGCACTCCTTCATTCTCTTTTGGTCTTTCCTAATGCCAGTAAGGTCTGTTATCAGCCTGATTGTTCCTCTGTAAATTAGCTTTTATCTCTATTTGATTTCAAAATTCTCTCTTTGTCCTTGATGTTCTGCAGTTCCACTACAAAGTGAGGGACTAGGTATAATTTAGGGGTTTTTTTTGGTCAATGTAGATTTTCAATATAAGTGCTCATTGCTTTCTTCAGTTTTCAAGAAATGTTTCAGCCATCATTTCAAAGATTTCCTCTTCCCTATCAGTACTATTATTTGTTTCTGGAATTCTCATTAGACATATGCCAGGGCTTCTTGTTATTTTTTTTAACGCCTTTAAATTTCTTTTAATATTTCTCTTTTTTTCCTCTCTGTCTCTGTTGCATTTTGTATGCATCGGTCTTCCTATTCACTTATTTTTCTCTTCATCTACATTTAGTCTACATACTCTCTATTATCGTTTTATTTCAATTGTTTGTTATTTTATTTGATTGAAATTTCCTTTTGGCTTAAACTAGTTGGGGCAGGGAACACAGGATTCTATTGTGTTCTGAAGAGATAATGCGATAATTGATTCCAAAGAGCAAATGCCTCTGATAAGACTGTAAGATATACAAGAGAAAGGAAGTTTCATTATCTAGGTAGCCCTACTACCTAGTAAACAGTCTGGCTAATAGTATGTTCTCAATAAATGTTTTCAGTAATGGATTAAATATAAACCAAGTAAACTTTAAACTTCACAACAATATACCTTAATGTTAATATATTGCCTCTACTAATCGTCCATAGTTCAAGTACAGTAATTCTCAAACCAGAGATATTAAAAATCAACTGTAGATCCACAGGTCCTACTATAGAATTTCTGATTTAATAGGTCTGAGGAAAGATCTAAGCATCTGTATTTTCACAACATGTGAAGTCACATAAACTATAATTTTGATTCTGAGAGCCAAAGAAGTATCTTGAGAGAAACATTGAGTGCAATCAGATTTAGAAATGGCAACGATAGAAGGGTTCCTCTTCATGACTTGGTCAGCAGATGGGACAGGAAGAGACTGACAAGGAGGAAAAGCTTTGGAATGAGGGAGCAAAGTTAAATAGGAGAAAAGTTTGAGAAGTTCTGATCCTGTCTTGGAATCCTCCTGTTCTAAAACAAGGCTACCTTGTTTTAAAAATGCACAAATAATAAATATTTAGTCATTAGCTCTAGTAAAGTATACTCATTTTGCAGCACATAATTTTTTTAACTTCTTCACGTGGGTTCTTTTTAAATTAAAGCTAATTGGGAATAGGTAGAAAAGGTTAATATTGGGTCTGTTTCCTTGTGGATCTATTTTTTTGAGATTTGCATTTAATTCTGTGGCATGATAAAATGATAATGTAATGTAATTTAGCTTAATATCTATTTTGTGTTAGATGACAGTTTTATTAAGCAGAACCAATAATCATCATTCAGAGTCATAATGGCCCATTATAAATGGTCTCATTTTCCCTAATTTTAATTTTACCTCTTAGAGTATGCCTTTCTAGAATTGTTAAAGTGGTTATGCTTGGCTTCTTTCATAAATATCATCTTAACAATCAGTATGGAAACATAAGTCATTTAGTAGTTAAGTCCCACTGTTCTACATTTTTGATACAAAACTATTTCAATGTCTTGGTTTCTCTTAATTAAACTTTGAGACTAACAAATTTCAGGAAATTAAATTACCATCCTTTATGTATCAGAGCCTTAACATTGAGATGAATAGACTCTTGTTTCTGGGATGCCACCTTTCTGACTTGTGTTTCTTAGGGTAGAGATGAACAGATTAGACAAAAGAAAGACTTCTCTCCAACAGACTGCAGAATAATCAGATTCACAATTCTCTCTTTGAAACTATTAACACACTAAGGTGGTTTTATGTTTATCCGGCATTTTATTTTTCTTTCTTTTTTTTTCTGAGATGGATTTCTGTCTGTCACCTGGGCTGGAGTGCAGTAGTGTAATCTTGTCCTACTGCAACCTCTGCCTCCCAGACTCAAGCAATCCTCCCACCTCAGCATCCCAAGTAGCTGGCATGCACCACCACGCCCAGCGAATTTTTGTACTTTTTGGAGAGACAGGGTTTCACCCCGTTACACAGGCTGGACTCAAACTGAGCTCAGGCCATCTGCCCACTTCTGCTGGGATTACAGGCGTGAGCCACTGCGCTTGAACTTATCAGGCACTTCTTCTTAGGATGAATAAATTTAGGCAACAATTGGATTTTCTGTCTCAACAATTGCAACAAGAGATGGGAGTTTAGAGGAGGGAGAAAACGGAGTTATTTGGGTCATAAATACTTCAGGGCAGAGAGGGCCTTAGAAGTTTCCTCATTTTAAGGCTCTTTTGAGTAACATCAAATATCTGTTTAAGGTAGTACAGTTTATTGAGCATTCTCACTTGTATCCTTTCATATAGGCCTACACCATTCCTTTCAGAGGAAGATCACTATTATTCTAAACTTACACTGAGAGGACTAAGTGTAGAGAAATTAACTCACATCCAAGCCAGTTACCTAGTTTGAGTGGAGGCAAAGCATAAGCTTTTTTCACAACATCAGAGTTTTTACAGTCAGAACACATCCCAGAGGCTTTGGATGCCTGGGAACAGAGGCAAAAGGTCAAATAAGTTCAAAAAACGAAGGTGGAAGGTCATCTCAAATACAAACTTTACCAGTTTTATATTATTGTCCGGGGACCAGCATGCAACAATTGCTTAGAATTCAAGGAAAGTCAACTCCTTTCAGCTTCTGTCATGGGCACTATAGGTGGCTCCTGTTGCTTTTGAGTAATAATTCTATTTCATCTATACATGATTAAATAGAACTCTCTTCTATAAAATTTGCGCCTGGATGAACCAAAGATGTATTTTCAAGCATTCAAGAGTATGCAGGGAAAAATCAGATCCACTCATGGATACAAACATGGATTATAACCTATGATGCTACTATGTAGTTTGATATTTTACTTTACACAATTCATTTATTTATTCAATAAATAATCAGTGAGTGCCAGAACTGTGTTATGCACTGATGTCATTGAGAAAGAAATATAGTCTCTGCCCATATAAAGCTCATACTCTGGTGGGGCGGGAAGCATTGATAATACAACATGGTAAATAAAATAGAACTTTTAGTAGGCCATGGGAATGTGGAAGAAGAGACTTTAAGGCAAGCTTTCAGTTATCTTTTGAGATGATTATTTCACTGTGATTCATTTACATACATGCACATCAATGATTGAAAGTATGTATGTATATATGTAGCTATACTCTTTCTTAGTTGCCACTCACTTTTAAAAATAACGTTCCCAATTTGTCCAGAGAATCCCCAGAAAGAACGGTAGGTTAGAAGTGCTTTGATTGGTCTTGGAGCATATAGTTTAACCTAATAGATATTGGACTATCTTTAATGTGGGGATAATGATAAGCCATGCTGAGAATAGCATTTAAAAAATCTTAGATACATTAATGAAAGAAGTACTTTTATTTTTAACCCAACAGATGTTTACTTTCTGGGTTATAACTATCTCTGAAAACATTAGCATGATTGGAAAGCTGTACCTACCCATGAATTCTGACAGTTTAGTAAAGTCTTTAAGATAAAGCCAAAATAACTGAGAAAATAGAGTATTTCTGACAATACGTTCTGAATGTATTTAAAGCTCATGGTCAAAAATCATGGTCATATAAAAGTCCATGTTCTGCCCCTGGAGTTTTTTAGGTCAAGTATCTATACCCATTGATTAATATAAATAATACAAATTACATAAATTCTAGCCAAGTTGTTTGGTTATATTTTTGTTATCTTCATTTTAAATAAATAAGATCATGGACTTCAGAGTGAGTCTTTGTAACTAAATTCTATCCCTGCTATCTTTGACCCCTGGACTAATTTTACTCCAAAATTTAATTTGTTATCTAGAAAATAAAGATAATACAACCACATAGCTCTACTGTTAGGATTGAGTCCAACATGAGGAGCTGGTATAGTACCTGATACAGCAAAACTTCAACATCAATGATAGTTCCTCGTCATGTTTGGCTGCAAACCGTACACAAGATCATGCTTTTATTCTTTAAAGGCATTAAACATTACAAACATCTTCTCATGACATTCCACCCGAGGCATTGAGTCAAAAGTCATTAATGATGCCTATTCAACTTATTTTGTGGGGACATCAAACTCACCTGCCAGTGATTCGCATGTGAACAGACCACTCAAAATATTACATGGATTGTGTTTTTCCATGAATAAAAGTTGAGACTTACCATGCATTTTTATATATTTTCTCATAGTTATAGTCTTGAGTGATGTCTCACATTCTATTTGTAATGCACATGCCGAAGTCGGTACAGTAAGCAGGAATTGGGGACGTTTTCTCAAATTCATTAAAATATAAACGCATCTTATTTTAAAAACTGGATTAAATATAGATTCATTGTTCGATATCACATGCATAGCTTAGTTTAGTTGGTCAGAGATTGGTATTAATATATCAGGTCTGAAATTCAGTCTCCCCCATTCACCAATTATAATCTAATTGATTTTTCACTCACTGGGTTTTTGTTTTGTTTTGTTTTAGGCTCACTGACTGACTGCAGCTGTAACTTCAACTTGCCAATGTACACCATTGCTCACAAGAGGACCAGCTGAAAGAGTATGAATGAATTTATTGCCGACCCTTTCCTACTCCTAAAACAAAGCAATTCTGTAGATTTGTTACTGATGAGTCATAGCACCATCTTCATATTCAAATAACAATATTTCGTATGGCACTATTTTCAGTGTAAATGATAACAGAGATCATGAGGAGACAGTACAAATTATCTCTGGCCATTGTCTTATTTATAGATTAAAGTACAATTATGTTTTTCACTGATTTATCTTCTGACATCTTGGTTAATTAAGTTACTTGTTTATTTTATGTTCATTCTCCCCTAAGATCTGGCATGACTATTCTTTTCTTTAATATTTTTTCTCTTGTTAAATTGTTAATTTTTTTCTGAGGGGCAGAATACGTTTTTATCATTATTTTGAGAACGCTAAGTATTTACCTAATTATCCTTCAAAGAACATTGGAAGACAATACAGTTGAACACATGGATAAATACTAGAAAAAGGTTACTGGATAATTCTATCATTTATGGAACCCTCAGTGATTGAATTTTTCTCTTTTTACCTTCAAATATTTTTCCTCTAGGTTACTCTTTTTTTTCCTGACAGGTTTTCAAGCTTATATTTGGCCATTTCCTCTGTTTAAAAAAAAATATTCTGGGAGTGTGCAAGTGCTCCGAAAATATTATCTATTAGCAGACTCATTAATTTAAGAATGTATTAATAAATTTGCTCATTTATTTAGAATGAAAAATATCTAATACAGTATTTATTTTTACATCAATGGCTTTTAGTTAACATGTAACTTCAAATCAGAATTTCAAATCAAATCTTATGCCAGTCCAAAAATTGAATAACTTATCTAAACAAAAGAGTACAGGCCCAATATAAAACAGTAAGACAGAGATAATTTGTTAACTCATTTAGGCAGTTGATCAGTCATCTATCATACAATTATTGAAAGCCTACTTTGTGCCAGGAATTTCTTTAGATCCAAAGGTGAATAAGTCATAGTACATCCCCTCCAAACACCTATTCTAACAAGAAAGGTGCTATGTAGATATGGAAAAGAATAACAGCAATGCAATGTGGTCAGATCTATTATAGAGGTGTGTAGAGTCACTGAAAGACCATCTAGCCCAATGGATAATACAGTCTGGCAGACAATATAGATTATTTCTGTTTCTATTTGGAAGGCATTCTGATTGTTGCCAAGGAATTTTGTTTTATTGAGTTTTGTGTTAAGTTGGTTAATTTTCAAATTACTTTAATTCCTTATATACATAAAATTAAGAGGTAGAACGAATGATACACTTTGATGAATGAAAGGATCACATAGGATTAACATTTGTAAAAAATTAATTTGAAAAATAGAGTTCAATCCTAAAGTGGAAAAGTGACTACCAAATTAGAAACATGTTCCTGGAAACTTAGTAGCATAAGCCTGGCATTGACAATCTGATTCATGGTTCTCTTACTATCTACTCACCTTGTTCCTTTAGGGGAAATTTGACAATCATGTCTGAAAAATGTGTTGCCACTTTCAAAAGATTCTTGCTAGTGTTTTAGCAAAGGGGAAAGCAGTTCTGGCATTTTGAATAAATGTTCCTCCAATCTTCCCTGCCAGACATCTCATTAAGTAGGAAGCCTCACTAGGGTAATATGGAAAAGCAATTTAAATAGAAGTTTGATTCACAACATGATGATTTTGTAAATAATATTCTGGGAGGTCTTCTATGCTTTTTATGGATTTAATTTTAATTTTACTGTTAAGTTGCATGTCTTGCCCTGTCTTTTGTGACCAATATTATCTCCCTGCCACCCGTAACTTCTTTTCAAAGAGAAGAAACTATAAATAAGTATATGAAAACATTCCATAATTTACATGAGACTTCAAGAAATTACTGTTATTTCTAAAAGGATTATTTATTCATTATGTTCCCACATAAATATTCTCTAAAACATCAAGTGCACGCCTTCTCTAATTTGATGGTGCATTTTAATAGGAATATTATAGCCTTTCTTTTAAATACTATATTATAATTGTCCCTGTGTAATTATAAATCTCTTGCTAAAAGTGGACCCCTAAAAGCAGGATTTGTGTCTTATTCATTGTGTGCATCTTTGTATCTCTAACTCAGCACCAAACAAATACATGTGCTTGGTTAATATTTTTGAAGGTGTGAATAGGATGACTGACTAATGTTTGATACTTGCTGTCATCTACTTTTTTTTTTAGTAAATATGTCTTTCAATCTGATTATCTTAGTTTAATATCCTCATTTGTTGAAACTGGATGAAAACAATCTTGAGCAGTTCTCCTATCTCACTTGCCTTTGTCCTGGTGCATGTTTTCATTCTTTCTTGGTTTGATAACAGGAATAGCCTTCTTTTTAGCAACTTGACATAAGTCAAGTGTCACCTCTTCATGCCTGACATCAATCCCAGAGTGATCTTTCCACACTCACATCTGCTTATGTCACACTCATGCTAAGAATTCTTCCATGCCTGCCCTGCATTCCACCGTGAATCTACATTCCAATGTTATTTTGCATAGACATAGTACCATATGTGTGACAGTCTCATCTTTTCATTTCTATCCCCCATGTATCTTGTATCATGTTTGTTAAATAAGTTGAATAAATGCTGTTTGATTGAATGAAGGAAGATGGCTGTAGCAGCCCACCTGTACCAAAGTATGTGCAGGAGAATTAGTTCATATAAATTTCTACTGGAGCTATCTGAAAATGGGATGGGTATTGTAGAACAGCATTTCTCATAGATGCCTGTGCATAAAAATTACCTGAAGTGTGTTTTTAAAATAAAAGATTTTGGGAGTCAGAATCTGCAAAGGAAGATTTGAGAATCTTTATATTCTAAAATAATTGCTGTAATTGCCTCAGGGAAGTTTGGGAAAGAGCTCTTAGAGTAGCAGTTAATATTTGGAGGCTACTCAACGTGGGAGGCCGGACTATGTGACCCTAAATTTCCTTCCATGAAGTTTTCGGTGCTATGATTCTAGTAGAGGTCATAGTTTATAAATGTGTAGAAGCAGGTGAGTGATTTCCGATTTAGCTAATTGCAGATAGGAGGGATTTGGGGTAAATGACCGAATCCAAGTGTCATCAGATCTAGAGAGTTATGACCAATTTTCAAGGATTCTAACAAAAATCTCTCTAATTCCTGAGTTTATTTATTCATTTAACAACTATTTATTGAACATCTGTTATATGTCAGGTACAGTTCTAGGTGTTGGGGATATAGCAATGGCAAAACACACATAATCTCTGCTTTTGTTCAATTGGTTTGTCTAGGGTCATCATACTTGTCTCTAGGACTCTCCCATGGTTAAGAGTGATTTTCGTAGCCCCTTGATTCTTTCGCAAACTGAAAATGATCATCTTCAAAGACCCATCATTATCCTTGTTAAAAAATAAGTGTCAGTCTGGGCAACATAGCAAGACCTGTCTCTATGAAAAATAAAAATATTAGCTGGATACGTGCTGGCATGTGTCTGTAGTCCCAGCCACTCAGGAGGCTGAGGCAGGAGTTGAGCCCAGGAGTTTGAGGTTACAGTGAGCTATGATTCTACCACTGCACTTCAGTCTGGGAAACAGAGCAAGACCCTGTCTCAAAAGAAAGAAAAATATATCTGAGTTCTTCAGTCTGACTGGAAACTCCAAAAGTATCCTATGTCCTCTGAAGGTATAACAGGTAGGTTCAGATAATCAGACAATTACTTCTCACCTTGTGAAATCCATGTATGTCCTTTTTCAAGGTTCTTTCTAGATCTAGCCTTGAGTCTTTGACCTAAATGCCCCTATAATTTTAAGTACAATTACATTTTATTTCTTATTTTTATCTTTTGAATTGGGCATTTTATACTGATTTTGAGAAACTCATATATATTTCAAGCTCTGGAGGCAAGATGGTCAAGTGGGGATAATTGTGGGCTTTGGAAATCAGACTAAATTTTAGCTCCACTTACTGTTGAACCATGAACAAATTACATAACCTACCTGAGACTCAATTTTATCAGCTGTAAAATTGGGATAATAGACCCTACTTCACAAGTTGTGAAATTAAATGAGATATAAGACAGTGTTTCATATTATGGTGCCTGGTATGTAATCCGAACACATTAAAGTTACTGTGTAATTTATCTGCATCATATAGCACACTAAGAGAGAGAGTTCTGAGGTAACTAAGATAATTTACAAATATGCACTTAGGGTAATAGAGAAGTTTTTTAAAATTTTGTCAACTTTTCAGAGCACCTAATATTTCTACGAAATATCGTAAGTGAAAATGATGACCCTGAGAAAGGAAACATTTTCTACTACTACTTTTTAAAAAAAATCCTTCATCAAATCAAGAATTAGATTTCTTGATATTTCATTTCTATATAAAACTTCCCATTTTAAGGAACAGATTATGTACATACATACAATAAAATTGCTTTTTATAAGAAAATTCATTCAAAGTCTACTAAATTAAATTCAAGGACAGTACAAGACCATATTGAAATAAGTTACATTTAAAAATAGAACATTGCACATGCAAAAACTGAAAAAAAGATAAGCATGTGTGTTAGGGTTTTGTTTTGTTTTTTCTTTTCAGTAAAAAAGGTGTTATAAGTGTGCAAGCCAAGAATGTCATGGTAATTTCTGTGAGCTTATTTCAAAGGACTACAAGAAGTGACATGGGTCACTAAATATGAATTAGGAAACATGAACTCTTGCATACACAATAGCACCAAAGAAAAGCAACAGAAAAAACTCTCTTTCTTAATTTCGGATCCAGAATTTCACCCATACCTGCAGTTGCAAAATAAAACAGAGAAAAATGGTCTTTATTAGCACTGGTATAAGTGTCCATGGGGTGGTGCAGTTAACTTTACAAATAGAAAGCCGGGCTATCAAAATAAATATCCTTTCTATCTGTCGGAGTGAGGAATATTTTCACTAATCACCATGCTATAAATTTAAGACACTTGAGCATTTAACAATTTCTTTTATTGGTCACATTTCCCTGGGATCTTTGGAAGATGACTTCATCAAACACAGATGTATTTTTTAAACTGGTAGATTAAAAAGAGAAGTTACCTCTTTTGCTTCCAGGAGTTTTATGAGCCCCACATTTATATATTTATCACTGTAATTCCCAGCACTACTATCACCACTGCCATCCACTATGTATATTGTACAGTTGGATTTCTTAAATATTTTCATTTTATGGCGTTCATTGAAAACAGTATTTATGTACAAACTGGGGTAAGAACGAAGGCTTTGCTCAGCAGACATTGGAGGCAAAAGGCCAGGCTGCATGCCTCAGCTCTGAGGGTTGCAGGAATCACTACTGACTGTTGGCAAACCTGCCGCCTGTTTAGAAAAATTGGGGTATATTAGCATGCCAATTGGAAAGCTCTGTGTTTGATTTCAGAGAATGCATATTAGTAATAAAGAGATAATAATACCCTTCTTCCCATCCCCAAAAGAAGGCTAAAAAAAGCAAGTGTTAGAGACAAGGTGGATAAATCATTCTACTACACATTGGTGGTGGTAGTGTAAATTGACACAATCATTTTCAAAAATAATTTAGTATTTATCTTGTAAAGCTGAATTTTCACACATTCTACAATCCAGAACTCCTCCTCAAAATATGTGCATATATGTGTGTATGTGCATGCATGTATATGTATAAGAAGACATGCATCAGGAGACATGTACAATAATATTATTGGCAGTACTATTTGTAATAGCAAAGTAATGCCAACTCCAATGCTCATTGACAGGAAAATGGACAAATAAATTGACAGATTTGCACACATATGCACACACACACAATGCAATACATTCTTTTTATTTTTTAAGTTTCCTTGAGCCTAAAGTTTAGCAGAAAGCATTTCCATATTTTGTATCTTAGCTTTCTCCTGAAATAGATTGTTTTCAAAGTCTCTGTTGATGTCAGGCAAGTATTTGAGCTTGAAGTCTCAAGTAAAGGCAATTAGCAAATGTGAACCTATTTATACTGAATTGGGCTTTTCCTTTTACCTCAAATTGTTGATTAAAAATGTAGGGTTTCAAGTAGCAAATTAAATTCCTAAGCAATTTTACCTATGTAAGGTAATTATTCATGGTTCGAGGGAAAGGAATAAGATCATATACCTATGTAACTGACATATTTTGTCTTTCTTTTAGAGTTTAAAATATAATGTTTAATGTTTCTCCTCTAACTTGGGCATAATAATGATAATCAGTAAAACCGAATGCAGCATGTCAAACAATTTAACTGTAGAAAGGAATGTCTTTAAAGGAATTAGAAAGGCAAGAAGGAGAGGAAGAGATTGATTTATTAGCCTCCCTTAGTGTGCTCAAAATTTAACAATTCTTCCTGTCTAGAAATTGTTATATGTAGCTTTAATCTCTTCTACTACAATGCAGCTTCATTTTCTCTTTTTATGTCTTGGAGGGCAGAGGGCCCCAAGAGTGTAAGAGAAGTTAAAGAATAACCAGCTCTGCAACCACGATTGGGTAGTGTTGACATGACTATAAAATAAAAGCTATTCCACTTGTTCTATCGCCCTTAAACTTTGGAAATAGTGTCCAATATTTGAAAATTAAAAACGAACAAACAAAAAAAGCCTGCCTTGTTTTCCAGAGGAGGAAGTTCATGAGTCTGTCTCTCCATGATAGATTAGATCAAATGTATTTCTTTCAAAATCTTTTAAAAACAAAAGTGAAGTCTAAAAGTTTTATGTCATCACTGTGATGTCAGTAATCTGTGACACTTAAGCAATTGATTACTATGTTCATTTTGCTTTATTAATAATCCTTAGTATATTGTCTGACACATTATCCTGTTCATACTTTCATAATCACTTCAATTTTGAAGATAGTCTCATTGAAACATGAACTCATGAGGGCCAGTCTCATCTGTTGGAGATTGAGATCATGTATCAGGAATACTCTTTGAGTTTTTGTGACCTTAAAAGCAGTGTGAAATTGAATCACAATTATAGAAAAATACCCAGTCTGTAACTATTTGTCTCAGACTTCTTAATGGTAGCTCTTGTACTTGAAATGAGTTAGAGAAGACTATTCAACATCAAATCTTTTCTGAGGAACTTATTGAAGTACATTTGAAGTTTATCATTCTCTTAAAAGTTCTAGGAAGTTTTAGAAAAACTTTTGGCTGCAACTATGTACTGTCTTTCACATGACATTTCTAATGATCCTCAATAATTGTACAGTGAACATTTTAAATATATCAGTGTATTCACTATTTATGAGATTTTTATTGCAAACATTGATTTAAACATAGTAAAAATGTCTAGAAATTATTAAACACATAAGAACTATACATTATTATTATTACATGGTTTTTGGGAAAATAAATAATACACATTGGTGCTATCTCACTTATTAACTGGAAATTATTTTTCTTCTTAGATTTGTTTTTGTTTTTCTGTTGTCGTTGTTTAATTTTAGAGACAGGGTCTGGCTCTGCCACCTAAACTGGAGTGCGAAGGTATGATCATAGCTCGCTGCAGCCTTGAACTCCTGGCCTCGAGCAATCCGCCCACCTCAGCTTCCCAGAGAGCTGGGAATACACGCATAAGCAACCAGGCCCCACAGATTTTTCCAAATTAATCATCAAATAAATCCTGAGCAGTAGAAGATTTAGGAGAAAAGCCTTTCTGTTTATGTGTGACCCCCGAAAGTCTGTCTAGAGAATAAATCCAGATGCCACACATGCACAAAACTTTTTACCTATGAATAAATTTATAAAATAGTTGTTTTCAGAACATTTGCAAATGTTTATTACCAATTCATCTTATAATTTCAAGTTGAAACAAATTACATTGTTTATGATTTATGATTTCTTTTGCAAGTCTTTTACCAAGTACTAATTACATACATTTTCTGAATGTCAGTCTAAATTTTTTTTCAATTAGACCTTGCTAATTTTTTCTAGATTCTTGATTTCAAATATCAGCTAATTACAAGACTACATTTCCCATGAACTTTGTAGGTCCAAGGTTTTCTCTATAACTTGATAACCAATTTGAATTAATTTATTTTGGCATCGTATGGAATTAGTGTAAATGATCTTTCATTAAGGTGATATTAGTTTAAATCACAAAATTTAATTTCAGGAATGTAGCTCCATTTATCTATTTAATTCACTTATGCTAACATCTCAACATATGGAATAAGAAGCAAACTATTGTTCATTAAAAAGTAGAAAGTGAAAATAATTTTCTGATCTAACGGTTAGTAATATTGTTATAAGCTTTTACTAGTTTCTACACAGAAAGTGACAAAGCAAAGTCATATCAAGATAAGGCTTTTTCTTTTAGACTGTTGCCCGAAATTTCTTTCAAATAATTCAGCAGTTGCTCAGAAAACTACTAGTTTGTTTGAATGTCATCTTGCAAAGATAATATCACTATTACATCTAAAAATTATTTCTACAGAAGGAATAGATTACTTTATGTCTCTAGTCTACCACGGAATAGTCTTCATCTATAAATATATGAGTATATTTTAATATAAAGTCTATATTTTAAGGGCATGGACAGAAAGGAATGCTGTCCTGGACTATGTATGTGGGAAGCTTTTTTTTCTATCCCAACTGAGTTCATGTGATTTAAAGTCCAAAGATTGTGCTCTGTAAAATTCCCAGAGTTGCCTGGCCTGAGCTCCCTCTGGAAGTTTAGTTATGCATTTATTAGTGAGAAATTATAGCTAGGTCAGGTCACCTGCAAGACCCCACCATCTGCCGTGAGTCCCTATCTTTAATGCAGCTCTGATTTCCTCCTTAGCTGATGGGCATTACACATTTAAACAACATGTAATGCCATTTCCCAGGTATAAAGTTAGCAATATTTTACCAAAATTGGAATATAATTGATGTAAATACGATGGATTCAACACTTTAAAATATGGAGAATGGCAATTAATTGATAAACTCTCTAAAAATCATCTTGGCAAGATGCACTGAAAAGCTTAAAATGTTTGTATCATCTGAGACAATACATTTTATTTCTGGGAATATATCATAAGGAAAAACTTGAATACTGACTAAATGTATATTGAAAGATGTTTATGACAGTGACATTTGCAATATTGAAATATGGGAATAACTTAAATATTCAACAAAATGGAACTGAGTAAATAAATTATACCTATATGACAAAAAGATATTACAAATAATCAAAATTTGCAAGATTGTTCATAACCTGGGTAATGCTTTTAAATAAATGAAAACTGACCATAGAAAAATAATCTTTAAAAAAGAATCACATAAATTTATGAAGAATTGTATCTCTGTATATGTGCATATCTGTATTTGTAGCTATTTCTACTTTTCTATCTAACTATATTCAAAACCCATAACAGCTTTTGAGGAGAGACTATGGCCAGTCTGTTCTTATAAATTTCTTTACACTTTGAAAATTTTTCAAAATTACATAAAATTAGATTACATTGTATTTATAATTACAGTAATCTTATTAAAAAATATACTCAGCCCTTAGTAGTGGAAAAAGAAGTATCTTTCATTAACAAATATATCACTGTCTGAAATGCACAAAAAAAACACTATCACACTGTCAGTATATACTAGAACATTCCGTCTCCTACTCCTCAATTACAAATTTTGATAACTTGATTCATATAAGTATTATCAATAATTGAGGCACTTAGATTAATGTGTAATACAATTTCCAAAACTTTATTTTTGTCAAATATAAGATGATATGGGTAAGTTGAGTTTAAAAAAATCTCAAAGAAGTTATCAAAATTGTAATTAAGACATAATTATAAAATCATGCAGAATTAGACCTTTATAATTCATCAAATATAGTATAAATTTTTTTCTGTGAATATTTTTTTCAATATACATTTTACGTGCCTTCTTACAAACAATATTGACTTTGGAGGACTTGAATCTATCGTGTTTGGAAACTAAATAGGAGTTTATTAGTTTCACTTAGAGTCTTTCAAGCAAAGTCTTGGAGCTGTTAAAGGATCTTTGCTTTTATCCTAGCAATTACTATGTGTTGTTCTATTCCCACCAAGCTGCTAATTACAAAAATGGAAGAATGGTCTTAGGATAAGCATAACTTGGAAGCAGGCCTAACTGCTCAATTTCATCCAAATAACTAAGGTTCATGGAAGATAAATGCTTCTATGAGGTGATTTTGTCCATGGTAAACACCACATCTAAGATCTTTATTTCTGTGCTTTTTAATTGACTAAATATAAGCTTGGAAAATGTTTATGAATTAATTGTATTGATTTAATATGTATGAAGTTTGCTCAACACCAGACACATGGTAGTACAGTGTTCTGTGCATAATAGGAACAAGTTGAAAAGAATGTTCAATGAATGAGTAAATGAAAGGCATTTAATGGACTCCAGTTTCCTTTCCTGTCATCTCTGTTTATCTCTTAATTGATAGCTAAGTCAAAAATTCAAATCTGCAGTGTGACCTGGAATATTTAATGTTTAAAATAATACAAAGCAAACAAAAAATATATTTATTTTGTTTAGCATAATTTGAAATCTTCCACAGTTAAACAAATTCAGTTAGTAGGCAAACTGCTATGGGGTTTGTAAAATTCAAGTTTCAGGGGAAATGGAAATTCTTATATGTGCCTAAATAATAATCCTATAATATATATTTTCCTGATTATAATAAAATTATTTACAGGCCTCTACAGTTACACTACTAAAAGCTGCAATCACGATGAATTTGCATAAAGAATACAAATTTCATTTTTGCCAGAGTGATGTGACTTACATCACACGTGGCTGTTATAGTTTTAATGGATGCTTAGCAACTGAATCTATAGCCTTTGTTTGGTAATGTCTATCTTAGGAAAAGAAGCATATTCAACTGGAGCTAGGAAAAAACTTGTTTTTATATTGATTGATGCACATTAATTGTTTACGAAGATATTTAAAGATTCCCCAAGACCATCTTTTGAAAATCATAGAGATGTAAAGAGTAATTGAAGGGACTGACAATTAACAAACGCTTATAATTTGAGTTTTATGTGTATTATGTATATATGATTTTATGGGTAACAGAAACTGAATAATATATTTATCTTGGGGTAGAACTGTCAGCTAAGAAACTAGAAATTGGTATCTCTGCTTGGGCTAATTTGAAGATGATGTTCTGTTTGAAAATAATTTTTAAAGTAATGAACTACCCACTAATATTACATATAGGCTTTATTAAAAACTAAAAATGCAAAACAATTGAGATACTGATCATTTTCTTAAGAAGAGGAGGGAAATGAGAAATGGTTTTACTTTTCAGTCAGTATGCCATTGCCGGTTGAAGAAAAATGTGATTTCATTGTATGCTACAAAGGAGGATGACATCAAAGTGTCCTCTTGGTAGCAAGCTAGCTATACAAACCACAAAAAGAGAGCTGCATTAAAAATACAATACATTGAAACAGTAATTTTTCAATGCTATGTAAATACTGTGGACATTTTAAATTCAAAGATAAGCAGAATCAGCAGATAGTGACAGTTTTAAATTTGCTAAAAATCAATAGAAGAGCAGTAAAATGCAATTTTCCTAAACCAGGCTGTAACTTCAAGTGAGCTGAACCATTCTTGATGCAACTGAGAGATTTTTTTTAAATAGGACTTAAGAAAATGGATTTAATATTGTTTCATTTTTTTAGTGGCTGAGCAATATAAACGTAAAATGCTTTGAAGTAATCTGCATTATATTTTTATTAGCTTCAGAGCTTCCATATACATATTTTATGTTCTTTGCAGAAGCTTAAATAGTATTACATTCTAATTATTATTTGTAGATGGTATTTGTTTTTCTCATAATGACCAGTCAGAAATCAGATGTCTGAATTGCATGAAAAAGAATCATTTCCTGTTGAGTAGCAGTTACTCAGTATGCATTCTAGCTCTTGCTATCTCAGAGGGAAAGATTTAAATAATGTATGGTGGGTTCCTTTGTAATGAGGTGCTCTTTTCTTATGTTTTGTTATGATTTTGTCACGTTAGAGGAGATATCATTAGTTAAAGGGACACAAATCATATCAAGGATTTTTATCAATGCCATATAATTGACCTATATATCTTTTAATGGGTGGGTGAATGTCATTCAAGGCTCTTGGGCATTTAATTCAAATACTAAATTTAAGAACCACAAGTATATTGATGAGTTAGGAAAAGATGTAAATTGTGTGCATAAAACAAGACCTGGTTGAACATCTTTTTTTCTTTCTTTCTCATCAAAAATTGATCTAAAGATTTTTTTTTTGAGCTAGGCTTATTTGATAGCCATAGTCACTTTTTGGTTCCCAGAGTGGTAATAAAGAAATCGCTCAATAAAACACAATTTCCCTTTTCTCTGTGTCCAGTATTCTTTTTTTCTTCATATGCAGCTGTTTTCTTAAAGCTTTTTTCAAATGTGAAGACCATGAGAAGAGAGAGAGAGAGAGAGAAAAAAACAGTTGCTGAAGAGTCGCGTAGCTTTTTAAGCCTTGAACTGAAGTCTTTCTTTTAAGCATTATTTCTAAAATAGGCAATCCTGCAATAACAAAAATAAAAATAAAAAGTCTAAGCATAATTTAACAAAAATAGGCTCCCTGAAGGTATCCTTCATCGTCTGTCACATCTTTTCTTAAATGTTTCCTAAATGTGAAATCTGTTGTATCCTCTAGCATGCTTGATGTCTTCAGTTATCAACACTTATTTTGTGCATTTCTTTTTATTGCCTACACATTTTGCTATTATGCCATGTTCGGTACTTTGTTAATTGACAGTATATACAGCCCTATATTTGGATACATGTCTAGGAGGCATAATAAGTAGTAGCGGTCCACAGAACACAAATCAGAACCTCCTATGCCAGAGAAAAATGATTTTTTTACCAAAATTATATGATATTCTCTTTAACTTAAAACATTAGCATGTTAATTTTACCTGTTTTCCAAAGAGCATGCCATTATTACTGACATGCTACTGGCTTTTTGGTCCTAGGATGCACGAATTATTAGTGTTGCCTGACATTTTTAAAGTTCTAACGCTATAGCCTATACCAGTACTTCCCGTTAGCTATTATGGTCTTTAAGAGTGCATGCTAGATGTTGATCAATGATTGCTCAGTAATTCAGAGGTGTCAAATTCTGTCATGGGTTAAAAAAAAGTTGGTTCTTTCTGGATTTTATAAAACAATAATATCTAAATAAAATTTTAATGCACAATATCTAGAGGACAACAATCTTGAATTTTGAAAAGAGACTACACTTACTTTGCTACCATTATTTTTTGAAGAAATAAAACTATACTGTTGAAATGCATTTAGTTATTGGATTTTAGTGCCTTTTTCTCAAAACATTACAATGAAATGTTATAACAGCACTATATCACACAAAATTGAATTTATCTGATTTTTTTTATCCAAAAAGTCCACCCAACTAGAAAAAAACAATGAGGATATTTAATTTATAAAAAGAAAGAGTATATTTATGACTTTTTAATTTTCCAAGAATAGACTGATTTTTATTAGGCTGAGTTTTTAAATGGCTATCTGCTTGTCATAGAAAAATACAAGCATTTGAAGCACTGAAATATTAAAATAGAAATATCAAAGACATCTGCTTTTATCTGAAATAATTATCTTTTTATTTATATTAACATTTTCAGTGTGAGAAGATGTTAACTGAAAATTTTGAAATCTTTAAGCAAAGCAAAGAATTCTCAAATACATCTGTGTTTGGAATTTTTAATTGGTAAAGAATCACAGTGGAAATGTCTTTCATTCTTTTCCATATATATTAAGCCTGCCCTATCAGCAGGAAGTACTTTCAATTAGGAAACCTGTAATGAAACTCAGCACAATTAATTGCCTGTTAGTCTCTCATGCTAGAATTATACGTCCAGTTACATTGCTAAGTTCTGGGTTTGGGCATTTGCTTTATGTAGACTGACTCCCCGCTCATCAAAGGAAGTATTACAAAATTCAAGTGATCAGCTCCAGTGATTAGTCGAGAATCACATTTTCCAGCACTCTCCTATCGTGAAACCCAATGACTGATTTTAAGCTCTCATCCCAACTTCTCTCTCTGAAGCATTTCAATCTTTAGGACCATTTTCTACATCTTGAAACACTCCTCTTCTCCTTTGGCTTCCATTCCTCTTGTACTCATCTCATCCCATCTGTTAAACAATCCTTTTGGATTTCCTTTCTGGGTCCCTTCCCATTTCCCATTTCTTAGGTTCTATTTTTGGTACTCTTTTCATTTATCCACCTATAGAACATTTATGAAGTATTTACTATATAGAAATATATAGTAAATTTATATAAATTTATTTAAATTTATATATAAATTTATATAAATTTACTATATATTTCTATATAGTAAATACTTCATAAATATATAAATAATATAATATATTTATATAAATATATATATTTATTTAAATATTTATAAATATAAGTATTTACTATATATATTTACTATATTTATATATATAAATATTTATAAATATAAGTATTTACTATAAATTTATATATATTATATATATAATATATATAAATATATATAATATATATATTAATAAATATTAATAAATATTTATAAATATAAATATAATATATTTATATAAATTATATTTATAAATATATATTATATTTATAAATATTATATATAAATATATATAATATTTAGAAATATTAATATTATATATAAATAATTATATATATTTCTATATAGTAATTATAAATTTACTATATATTACTATAAATTTATATTTACTATATATTTCTATAGTACATTTGGGCATGGTGGCTCACACCTGTAATCCCAGCACTTTGGGAGGCTGAGGAGGACAGATCACAAGGACAGGAGTTCGAGACCAGCCTGACCATCATGGTGAAACCCCATCTTTACTAAAAATACACGAATTAGCTGGGTGTGATGGTGTGCACCTATAATCCCAGCTATTCAGGAGACTGAAGCAGGAGAATCACTTAAATCTTGGAGGCAGAGGTTGCAGTGAGCCCAGATCATGCCATTGCACTCAGGCCTGGGTGACAGAGAGACTCCAACTCAAAAAGCAAAAGAAAGAAAATTGTGTAAAAAAACTCTGAGAGATTCAAAAGTGTATACAACAAGGATAACGTCCTGAGGACTTTGACATATAATGTGTAAATAGATCATTCCAATTGGTTAATATCAACGCTTGTCTTCTCTCTACTTCAATTCTGCCTGGTTAATATCACTTTCCTCAAGACTTTAACCATGTGATGTATTGACCATCCCTAACATTTCTATCTAGAGCTGTGCTTCCTGCTCCTAACTGGACCTCTCTGCCTGCTTGTCTTCTAGGCACTTAAAACTCATTGTGTTACACGTTAAAATTTAAAATCCCTCTACCAATGCTCATTCACATCCCCAAAAATCCTGGTTCATCTACTGAATTCTGAATCTTCAACACTGCCACTTGTTTTAACACTTTCCCAACCTCATACCCTCTAATTTATCCCTGATTAGTGCTATTTCCTCTTTTACATTCTTAGTTTGCTGATTTTCCTCAAAAATGGTTTCTGAATATCAATCCTCATTACAACCTTTTTTTTAATCTCAGTCCTATATCACCTCTTGTCTGTACAAATGGCAAAAGTTTCATATTCTATTTTCCTACCACGTTTAGTAGTGTAAGTATAAGGGGCTTTGGAATCTTTCATAAATGATTAAATGTACATGACTTGGCTATGTGATTTCAGATGGCTGATTATTCTAAGCTTCAGTTGTCTCAGCTATTAAATGAAGTAATAATCTGCATTTCAAATTCATTGAGAAAATTAGGTAGTATCTTGCTAGAAGGTGATTAGCACAATTCCTGGCACTTATTAAACACACACACATACACATTTGTTATGTTTTAACTGCAATTTATCCTGGAAAACATTGCAAAAGTTATCTTCCTGTAAAAACCTGATCATGATATTTTTCTATTTAAAACCTTCAGTGATTTTACACTGGCTACAAATCACAATTCACCTGAACATTCTGACACCAATTTACTTCTCTGACTTCATTTTCTACCCCACCACTTCAGGCACATTTTCATTCAGTTGTACCAACCTCTCATCACTCAGAGCTCTCTAATCCCTGCGAACACTCTACACCTCACTCATACTGTTCCCACCCACTTTCTGGAAAGGTCTTCTCCCACTTCTCTTGGTAAAACTCCTACTCATCTTCAAGAAGCAGCTCAAATGGCACATCTTTTGGAAGTCTTCCCTGACTCATCCAAGAAGGAATAGTTACCCCGCCACTTGTGTTTCTGTATCACTTTCTTTACATACATAATAGTATGTTACTTTCTTGTGACTTTTTCTATATGAGCTTCAGTTTGCTAAACAACAATAGTAATAATTAGAATTTATAGAGTGCTTACTATATATATGACCTTGAGAAATAAATTTATCTTGCTTATCTTAGTTGATCTTCACTACAACACAGTGAAGTACATGCGATTTTAGTCCTATTTTGAAGATAAGCAAAATTAAACTTAAAAGTTTGCAATCAATGCAAAAATACAACTATTACATATCAATAAAAATTTAAGTTTGTAATTAGTCTCAGATGAATAACTTACATAGATCTGACTTCAGAGTTCACATATAGTTACATATAATCATAAACAGATATAATCATAGATTCCAATATATATGTTGGTGCACAAACTCCCTTGAGAATATAATAAAAGTAAAAGAAAAATGCAATTTTCAGATCCATACAGAATTTAGTATATATCAGGTAGTTCATGGATCCTCTAAAACACTTTTATAGATACTTAGAAATCCATTGATATAAAGATAACACACTTTTCTTTACAGATAAAATTTTTTATTTTGTATTATGATGAAAAAGTATTCTCAAAGTTTTTATTTGTACATAAAATCTATGGTTAATAATTAATTGCATATCTTCAAAACACTAGAAGAGAGAATTCTTAATGTTCACAAAACAAAGAAATGATACTAGTTTGAGGTGATGAATAGACAAGTTACCCTGATTTATCGTTATACATTGCATACATATATCAAAATATCACTGCATTCCATAAATAAGTACCATTATCACATCAACTAAAAGAAAAAATCTGCATTTTAAATACCAGCCTTCAGTTATCCCCATAAAGTGTCCCATAAGGAACTTCTAACTCTTTAGGTTCTATGGAACAAAGGTTGCAAACTGGGCTTAAGGTAGTGGCATGTTTAATCCCGCAGAAATGTTTACTTCTCTCCAGGTTGGACAGCGTCTATGAACTGTGCCTGACTTATCACTGTTTTCCATAATCTGCATTTTAAAGGGTTATATACACAATCGAGCTGTTATCTGAATATTTAAATGAGGTTGGGATTTGAAAGTAGAGTAATATATATCTCCACAACCAAGGTAGATAGGGCAAATTACTTTTTGTCATGAAAACTGAGTAACTGTGGCAAATAGCTGACAGGAATGAAGATACGCTGATCTAGATTATTAAGACCACCCCTGGATATATCTGGATCAGTGCTTAAGCATGTGAATTATGAGTTAATCGGTAAATAAAATGAACAAAGTTGTGATTATATATGGGTAGCAGAGATTGCAAATTGCCTGCCAGCAGACTCATTTTGGCCTTTAAATGTGTTGTTTGGCCAGCATAATATTTTTTAAAAATTTAAGCCAGTATTTAAACATCAGGATATTTGTTTTTTACATGAATCCCTGAGTTTCCAGCTTCGCTTGAGAATTTGGAAGCTCTGACAACACTGGGCCCACATTCTCACGTGGTGACAATTGGCTAGAACTGAAAGCAACTGTTCCCTCTACACAAGACATGTACTTTCTATTACAGTACAGCTCCCAGTATACCCACTCCACACACTTACTGTACCTGCCTGGCCCCCCTTGGGCAGCTGTAACCCTAGAAGACTGGCCTGAAAATTTGAAGAGTTTATAGGAAACTGCTATTTTATTTTAAATTTATTATTTAAATATTTAAAATATTATTTTAAATAATGCAACATGTGCTGCAATGCCAGAAAAAAAGAAAAAAACACATACAAACAAAAAAACACTTCTTCTGGAGTGTAGGCTGTAAACATATACTTCTAGGTAGCCACTGAGGCTGTTATGACTCCCAAGAAATGGTGAAAATAGAAAATTTTCACCTCTATTTATTTGAATTCATACCCATTTTACTAAGGAGAAGCAAAAGGCTTGAATTTCAGCCCCAGTCAAAGGCAAATCAGTTCTGCAGGTAGTAGCGAAACAGCATGGAGCTCAGGTACTCTATGATGTGCAATGTGTGATAATCAAATCCAGAAGCACAGTATTCTTTTGGTGAATTAAGTTGCAATTAGATGTAACTTTTAGTATTACACTATAAGAAAGACAGAGGATGAAGTTGAGGTGGGGCTAAAATTTCTTCTTATTCTCTCTGTATTGTATTATTTCATTTGTGTTATCACTATGTAGTAAGAAAATATAATATTATAATATAAGCAAGCAAAGCAAATGTGAAAACATCTTATAATTCTGTTTTCCTGTTCCTGCCTGGTGATAATGAACATGGTATCATTTAAATGGTCTAGTAGTTATAGTATTTCCAGTTATTATAAACCCTTATAATTCTATAGGGCTTTGAAGGAATTCTATTGAGAAAAATATAACTATATCACAGTTTAATTGTTTATAGTGACTAATCAACATGACACAAAATGTCTATTCACGGTGCTTTCTTGAATCTTAGACTAGACTATATATTGAAGAACTGATTTGATTTAGGAGGACTCTGAGTCCTTAAATTATTATGGAAAAACCAGCTCACATTTCTTTGATGTGTCACTCATCTTTTAGTAGCCCTGCTAATATTAGAGCACTTCGTTTTTTTTCAGAACACTTTCACATACTGGAAAGTTGCCTTTAGGTATTGCAATTAAGTCAATTTTAGGATATTTAGCCTAATGGAAGTATGAGCAGTGTAGCTCAAATAGAAGGGTGACTGATTCAGAACTTTTCTTTCTGGTTCAGCAGTCCTCAAGGACTGGTGGAAGATTTAATAACTCTGGTAAGTAGTGACAGGAGAAATACTATCTAGGAAGACTGCAGAAATATGGGAGTTGTCATTTATATTAGATCTTTGCCATTTATGGATTTGCCATTTGAAATTTGACTATTCATGAGCTTTCTGAAAAGTTTACAATATTTTAAAACTATGGCCATTTTTTTCAAAACTTCAAATTTGGATTATTTTCTTTTAACTCTGGTAATGTGAAGAGTCACTTA